GTGGATGACGACGAAAACTTCTAGGTGATAGTGTGATGGGTGGTAGTGAATGACAGTGGTGGTCGATGTGGTGGGATTGTGGGTGCTGATAGTGGTAATGATAATAAATATAAAAATGAGATAAGGATGGTAATGGGTGATGGCGGTGAACGACAATGGAAATAATTGATGGTGGGTAGCGACGGTAGTGGTGATGGGGTCGCAGCTGTGATGGTGATGGTCGTGGGGATTGTGAGTAATTTTTTTTTTGATATTTCAATTGTCTTAGTAGATTATCATTATATTTCTCGCCTACATACCAAATTAATGTCGTACCTTATACAAAATAAAATAAATTTATAGGTATTGGCCCTAAAGGACCACCCTTCGGGAATATTCAAACTTTTAACTTACCTCGTCATAAGAGATTTATCAATTGACTGCACTATTACCCAAATTAAAACTTGATTGTTTTAAGAATGATCAAAACGTAAATATATTATTCGTTAAGTTTAGGGAATGAATACAATATCATACCGTACTAAAAATTAAAATTTTATAGATCAAAGTTATAATTCTTTAACAACTCAAAAAAAAAAAACCCTTTCTGGTCATCAAATATTATAATTAATCATGCAAAATATAAGTTTACAAAGATAAGTTATACATTTAAAAAAAAATTATACATGATTGAATTATTTATGGTCGATTACAATGCATTCAGATTCCCTCAAATATGTTTTTTTTTTTTAAAAAAAAACTTGACGTATCATTCAACATAAGGAATTAGGGGTAATGTATGATAAATAATTGGAAAAGAAAAAAATCAGTTACACTAATTTTAGTTTATTATATCTTTAAGTACATTCACTCTATTATCCAAAACATCACAAATACCCTTTTTAATTTATATTTAAACATCATTGCAACTCTTACTGTTAATCCACTATTTCTAATCAAAAAAAATATCTAAAATACTAAAATTACCCCTACATAAACCCTAAACGAATCTTTCTATATAACATTCACTTAAAATTCGAGTTGATTAAAATATAGTTTTTTACATATAAAATTTCGAGATGATTAAAATTAATTTTTTTACACATTAAAATTTGAGCCGGTTAAAATTCAATTTGAGTTAATTAAATTTTATTTTTTTATGTATTAAAATTTGAACCTATTAATTATTTTTTTTACGTATTAAATTTTCAATTAATTTGAGCTCAACTTGAGTTGTTAGGGCCTATTAAAATTAGATTCGAGTCAATTTAAATTTAAATTTTTTAACTTATTAAAATTTTATTCAAGTTTATTAAAATTTATTTTTTACGTATTAATATTTAATGTGAGTTGATTAAAATTTGATTCGAACCGATTAAAAATAAATTTTAGTCAGCCCAAATTTTAATACGTAAAAAAAATCATAAAATAGATAGGGTCTCATTGAAGATATATGTTTATCTAGAGATGTGCGAATAAAGTTTTTCCTAAAATATATCATAGATAATTTAGTAAAATTATATTCTAGTTAAAATCTTTAATCTGACAGGAGTTGTTTGTGAAAATTTTAAAAATAGTTAGGATGTCCTTAAAGATATGATAAACTAGAAAGGGTGTGACTGAAATTTTTTTAAATAATTAATAAAAAAATTATTTTAAAATATATTACAGCGAATATCTATATAATAAAGTAGAAAGATATTGAATCTAAGAGACAAAGAGCGGTTAAGATCGTTTCGTGATCAAAAAAGACATTATCGAACGAGCGAATTTATCCTAAACTGTCTTAAGTTATTGACGTCTCAAATCGTTTCGATCCAACGTACCACATTAACTCTTAAAATATTTTTGCCCCTAAAATCTTTTAATTTCCAAAATTGACACCCCTATATTGAATTCGCCTCCCAATCTCGCCCAAAATCAATGTCATCTAAATTTATAATTAACGTCCACATTTAAATTTTGACCCCCGCTCATATTGTTCTAAATAATATCCTTTCTATATCAGAGAAATCACTTTTTCACATCATAGCTTGAGGATATTCAATATAATGATAATACTATATTATTTATTCCGCTTTCTTTTAAAATAATTGAATCTCAAAATGATTTCTATATTCCTACTACCAAATAAAACGGCATAGAAAAATAGGTTAAAGTCATGCAAATGAATGATTAATAGATCCCAAAGAATAATAAATAATCACTACAAATGTGTCACTAGCAGTTAATAGTAACAATTCTATATCATCACTGAATCCCTCTCAATAGCGACAAAATTTGTCGCCACTAATATTTTAAACTTTTATCGCTAAAATGTATATTTTTGTCACTTAAAAACCATTTTCAGCCCAAAAAAAAATATTAGTGTCCAAATATATTGACACTAATTAGTATCTATCAATCATTAGTTATGGAATTTTTTGTTGTCACTAATATGTTTAGTGACAATTTCAAACTTCCGTCCTTAATTAAAATAAAGTTTTATTGTCACTAAATTATCGGTGACAGTGACAATGTTTTGGTTGTCACTAACATTTTTTGTTTACTTTTAATGATCAACTTTATAAGTTTCACTAAAGACTTATTCAGTGATCATATTTTATGTTGTCAGTATAAAATTTTAAAGTATTTTTGTGACAAATTTTATGACAGTTACTAAAAAACTCTATAGTGACAACTTTAGTGGTTGTCACTCACATAATAATTCGTAAAAACTTTCATAAACCATGTATAAATTGACCTGTAATTAAAATATTATAATCTTTCAATATCATTTGAACAAATCGAAATTCAATCATAGTTTAATTATAAAATAAAAAACATATGGAATTATCATAAAATTTTAAACAATCTGACGAATACTTTAAAAAAAAAGGTAATAAAAAAATGTTGTCCTTAAGCAACAAAATAAAAAATTAACAATAAACTATTGGTCTTTATTCCTTCCATAACCATGAGAAGATCTAAAGCAAACTTCATGACAGACAAAAAAATGTAGTCAGTGTTTTTGGATTAATTCTTGTCCTTTGAACACGGTCTTATATTCTCATAAAGATGTCGCAGAGATAACCATCCTGACAAAAATTAAACACCATAATAACTGCCACAACTCTTTAATTTCAAATCACATAAAATAGTAAAAACTTGGGCAAAAATGTCATCATAAAAAATATAGACTTGGTAATGTCTAGATTTTATTTTCAAACTTCTCTTTACTCTATGGAACACAAGAAATAAAACTTCAACATTTATTATCAAATGTTTAGACTAAATGGTAACCAACCAAATAGTCATTCTAATTTTTGATAGCAATGTATTGCACTTTACACTCTTAGAAAATGTATTGTAACACTTTTAGCATTGTTAAGGGAGGTTTAACACGAAAGACTATAGATGACCATTATTAAAGAATACACATCCAAGAGAAAAAAAGAAGTGTAATATGCAATTGCCCATATTATAGATGACCTTCACAACGTAAAAAAAAAGAGGATCTATGCCTTTTTTTTTAGTGAATAGAAAAAAAAAATATTATATCTAGAGGCACAAGCATTCTCTAAACTATTAACATACTATGAGGACAAAAATGTAATTTAACCCGATATAGTGTTTAAAATTTAGTTTTAATTAATTTAAATTTTGTTGATATTGTTTATTATATTTTTTGTTGCAATTAATCTCTTAATCCCCTTTCCTTGCTTTCTATTTCATATTTATTTGATTGTGTTTATACGACAATGATTTTTGAATTTACTACCATTTAGATATTAATCAATAATTAAACGGTCATTAAACAATATTTGAGATTGTTTTGATTTGTATCCTATCAATTTTTTTAAAAAAAATAATGACCCCACATTATATTTATCAATATTTTTTTTAGTTTTTCTAATTGATAATTTTTTATGACATATAGCCTCTTAATACACATATATTTGTTTGCAATTTTTTTATTTGTACCGTCGTGTCTCGAAACACGGACAATTGGTAGTTAATTCCTATCACAACATCTCAATGAGTACAAATATGGGTAAATTACATTGTATCCTTTTGAACTATTATTTTTATTTTATTTTATATCTTCAATTATAACATTTGTCAGATATTATCTTAAAATATCAATTTTGTTTCATATCATTCTAATAGATAACATCTATCAATTTTTTTCGATAAATACGCATATGAGTAGTCTGTATTACCAATAAATAATTACCTATTATACACGTGCAGGTAAAAAATTAAGAAAAATTTATCTATGACTTTACTCTTCCTAAGTCCCAAAATTTTTTCCTCTAGCCAGCCTTTTTTTTTTTTTTCCCAACAATCATTTGATTGTAAAAGAAATAAAATAGAATAGTACTAGACACTTAGTGAGAAGTTATTTGGGGTTTTCTTCCCTTCTTTAATAGATTTTCAAGTTTGACCTTCTAATCTATCAAAAAATTGACAATCATTATTTATTGGAATTATATGAAACAAAATTGATATTTTAAGATATAATGTGAGAAATTTTAGAATTGAGGATAGAAAATAAAATAAAGATAATAGTTTAAGAGGGTAAAGTGTAATTTATCCTAAAATTGATATAAATGTCATTGGTATCACGTGGTCCCTACGAACGTAGTAATTTCCGGCTGACAATTAGGACCCACTCATCGATCCATCGCTCACGGGATTTTGACCACTCGAAACACTGCCGATCCGTTTCTGCCGCTTCTTCTGTACTTTCTATCTCTCCTTTTTTTTTTCCAAACATAGAATAGAAACACTTAGAAGAATTGCGAATCAGCCCTCTCTCTATCAAACTGACCCTTAGTCTTCCTTTGAACCCGGAACAAACGCAATATGATCACATTCACAAGTTCGCGACAATGGCCAAAGTTTCTACGACAAACGTTAGAATGAGGACATTGTGGGTGGATCAATTGTGGCTGTTTTTGTTGTGATTTTGCATCGGCAAATGACCCATTTTCAATTGGTTCATCGTGAATTGTTTAGGATAGTGAATTAGTAGTAATATGTGCGAGTTGGTGGCCCGTACGGGTCGGCATCAGCAGCGATACGAGGCCGGTTGTCGTCTTGTTGCCGGGTAAATATATTGTCATTTAAACCCATTTGATGAACGTATAGATATATGCACATATATACGTGCATATATGTATATCAATGTCGTTATGCATATGCATTTTTTTTGTTGGGTTTGATTTTACGTTGTTTGTGGTTTTTGTGATCTTTCGATTTATTAGTTGTTGGAAATGTGACAAGTTGTGGTTGCCATTGTTGATGTTAATTTGCATTTTGAGATGAACCAGTCTGTCTGAATTTGGGTGAACTTTTTTTTTATGTTGTTCTTTTTTCTGTTTATTATTGATGGGACTTTATGATTTCTAATGGGGATTTTTATTTTACTTCTGCAATCTTGCATTCATAATGGGTTTTACTCATTTGATTTGAGAGTAGCTAAGGTGTTGTGTTTCTACAATATTGTATTCCCGTTGTGTTTCTTTATTTTTAATTTTTCTGAAAGAATAAAGATTAGGGGTGTCAACTGGGCGTTTGTGGTTCAATAGTGCGGTTATATGCATTTAATTTGGTTGAAATATCTATTTGAATGTTTGCAGCAATTTATGTCATGCACTGCGTAGGAGAGATTATGGTTTTCAGATGAAAAATTTGCATTCATGGTGGGTGCTACTAATGCAAGAATGGCTCTTAATTTGAGAGTACGGTTTGGTTAGATGGATTGAATAAAAAATATATTTGTTCATGCACCCATACCTTAAAGATAGAAAAATCATTTAGGCACTCCCTCAAGGAGCTTTGAAAGATGAATTAGATACCACAGTGGTTTGAAGAATGTTGTGCAGAAGTAATGAGAAGCTTTGGATTTTCTGTACTAGTTGAGAGATGAAAAAGGTTGTTGATGGCAAATAGGTACAAATAGAGAAGAGACAGTTTCAGGGTGGAAGTATGGATTGTGTCATAAAGGTGAGTTTTTGCTTTGTATAATGGGTGTATGAACGGATGGTGAACTTGGAGTGTGAAATATCTGAATAGATTATCATTGAAGAGTGATCCTAATGTTTAGCATGACCGGGCTTGAAACCCTTAAAAGGTTAGAACTTTTACAATTTTAGGGCATATAAGGCCTTCACGATGGTCAGCACGGCCGGGGTTAGGCACTGTGTAGGTTGTGCCTAGGTGCCAAGATTCATTTTGATTGGACAACCCCAAGTTTGAGAGAATAACAAACTTTTAATCAAGTGATAAAGGGCGTGAAGTTCTTACCAAAATAAAATAATTAAATAAATAAAGAACATGAAGTCATTTGGTGGAATTTTTTTAGCACTTTATTAAGATGTTGTAAAGAATAGAAGATTTTATCAAGAATTAGAGGGTTAATTAGTTGACAAAGAGCTTATCTTAGGGACATGACTTTGGTGGGCCGGTCCTTTTTTGCGGCCATTTATTAGCGACTTAATTTTCAAATATCCAAATCACGGCTGTACCATTATTTAAGTGAAAACAAACCTTTTGACTATTATAACTTGGACAAAATGAGCCACTTTGACTTTTACTATTAGGTTGGTTTGACAATGGAAAAGTCATTATCTATTGTTGAAAATTAAGCCAAATATTGTTAATACATAAATGGCTCCCTAGCGAAATCATTGTGGGCGGTTAACTACGTTGCCGTCTTGCCATGGAATTATAGCTTAATTGTATTGATAAATAAGAGTATATTAATGCCCTTTTGCATAGACATGACATGAGCATGCTAACATGGGGAGTTTTTGGAATGGGTGTATACACGGCATAAACATGAAAATATCAATACAAACACACATAAATATATATATATATATATATATATTTTTTTTTTTATTTTCATAGTTTAATAAATTCAAAATGGGATATATATATGATTCCTGGATTTTTCCACAAATGTTGCTATGCATATTTGCATAATTACACAGATGAAGCTTACCCAATTCATGCATCCCATTTTTCAAGTTAACCTTTACTACAGCTCCCTTGTTACATAAATTATCTAGTGAACTATCACACCCAAGGTGTCCAAAACACTTCTAGGAGTATCTTCTTGCAAACAATGGCAGGGATAGATGTGGCTCTCATACAGTTGTTGCATAGTGACAGTGTATTGATTTTTGCAAGAAATTCCATGAATTTGATGTTCATCTATCATCTATCATCTATTTTCTATTGAAAGTCAAATGTTTCAGTTTATGTGGTATTTGGACTATTATTAGTTGTACGGTCAAAAATATCTTATATTCGACATTTTGATTCTTTGCTCATGTGGTAATAGTTATATGATAGTGGTTTTGGGCCTATAAAGATGCAACATGGATAGCCTAAGTGCTTCCATATTTTTGTAGTTGCGGGTGATATATTATGTGGGCATCAATTGCTTCACTTGCTTTACTTGTACCTAATTAAGGCTGGCTATTTTATGGTTAGCCTAGAAAACAGGCAAATTGCGGTGGGATATTAGCTTTTGTATTGCTGGTGGATTTGTAGTCTTTGTTGCTCTCTATTTGGGTCAGTTGGGTGATGTGTTGGCTGGCTCAGGAGAGGCTTTAATGAGTCGCTGGACAAGAGCCAGGGTGCATAAGAGACATCAGGACATGAGATGTGAAGCCTTTATGTCTTATATTGTGTTCTTTTATTTTTGTTTGTTGTCCTCCTATATTTGGTGGACTTTCATAGCTTCTCTGGTAATCATTTTTGGTACAGTTGGGAAAGAAAATTGATTCTCCGACAGGTGATACTGTATAACTAGAATCGAGATTGTGGGGAAGTTAAAAGTATTAATTGTTGTTCTGATGATCTTTAAGTGAACATTAGCATGTAAAGAAGCTCCATTTCCCAACATATTTATGCACTACAATTTAAAAAGCCTTTTCACAGCTCTTCAGTTTGTCTCCTGGTAGTTGTTACATAGTGGTAACTTCATTTTCGATGCAATGGCTGGGCTGCTAATCAGGCTCCCTCCTTGTTTGTCATTTCATCTCACGGTATCTTGTGTTCTAGTATGGCTTGATATGGGTTTTGATGCGTGTGGCAGATTATTTCTCAGTTGTCTGTTTTAACTTCAAAGCATTGCATGGAGAACTATGCTTGATGAATTTTTTACCAGTATAGATGGTTATATCTGCTTCTATACCCCTAGAAGAGTCTTGTTTTTCAGGCGTTGTCACTGTTAGATGTTGCTTTAGTTTTGCTTTTGTGTTTTGTTCATGTAAATAACTTGTCAACTCGATATGCTCTTCTTAGGTGTATACCATTTAAGTATAAAGATTCGGAAGAAAGTAGTGATGTGAAGTCGGAGAGAATTGTTGAGGTGCTTATGATCAACTCTCCTAGTGGACCAGGTCTTTTGTTTCCGAAGGTATGAAGTTACTTGTCAATTTTGATTGTTTTTGTTTCTTGCATGTAAATGCTTCTGTTGATTGCTTTTGCTTCTTCAACAAATCAACGTTCCTTCCATCTCTTCCCCATTTCTCCCTCCTTTTCTGTGGCACAAATATAGATTCTTTGGTTTGTTCAAGTATAGGAAACTCGGGTGGAATTGAATAGGTTCCCAATTTTAATTTTTGACCAATTTGATAGTAGAACTTAGCAATCTTTCAACATTCGACACAGATATGCAGTAACCAGTTGACCAGATAAAAGCAAGAGATGGAAACATCAATTTAACCACACAACTACACAAACACAGATCAATCCAACCAATATTTATGTAGGTTAAATACCTAAGGACTGATAGATCATACATATACCTCACACTATGTTTCCCTATTAGGCGATCGATCACAGCCGCGAAGACAACAACTTTTACATGATAGCCCAAACTTAAACTGAATACTTATGGACCCAACTTGACACCCTTCTAACTGTGGCATCCTCCTATAGTTTTTTACCTTCTTGATTAATCCCAAGGATCCTTGGATATTTCATTTTTGTCATGCAAAGGACCTCTTTCATGCTTGGTCAAATTCACAAACCAATTACACGATCCACTAGAAGTTTTACTCTGATTCACTTTGACAACCGACACCTTTGGAGCCTTTCACAGAGCAAGCACATTATGCTATGAGGTTTGTTTTGGATTGTTCTATTAACACACTGTTTTTCTCTCGAGAATTTTTCTGGCAACTGTCAAAAGATAGCATTTGTGTTCTTCAGAAACTTCAAGACCACATTCAAATGGTGGTCGCAGTTTTCTTCATTTGATGTAGGCACTAGGGTTTGTTTTGTAAGACTTTAAATGCCTTGTGCTACCATATGTTTCATTGGATGCCTAAGAGAACCTTTACTAACAAGGTTGAAACAAAAAAAAAAAATTGGAATTGTTGGTTATTTTTGATGTTTTACACGTTCAAGTTTATCCTGCTTTTTTTTTTTTTTTTTTATAAAATCTGAAACTAAACTTTTTAGGGAGGCTGGGAGAACGACGAAACTGTTGAGGAGGCAGCAGTTAGGGAAGCTATTGAAGAAGCTGGAGTTCGAGGGGTCTTAATGGTGAGAACCTAGTCTTTCACTACGGTAAAACCCATGCCCCCACCCCTTTTTTTTTTTCTCTCCCCATTTCTATCCTCTTTTATGAAGAGATGCTATTTCTAGCAAAACTTTCTGCATCTTGGAAAAGGATGTAAGTAATAACTATGGTATATGCTGAAAAGTTTTGAGAGAGCCTGAGTGTGTACGAGGATCCCTTTTCATATTTGTTTTATTTGATTTTCTTTTTTGTGCCTGTGTCTGGGGCTGGGGGTTGCTTGTGTCAAAATAATGTATAATCTTTTAATGAAGCTGAAAAGTGAACTGTATTTTATCAAAATTAAGTCTAGTTAATGGTTGGCATGCTGACCTTATATGTTTCACGGATTCCGAAATTTGTTAGTAATTGGAGGCTTGGAGCTAGGAGGAAAATGGCTGCCATTGAACAAATGATGGTGACGAAACTTTTACAAAGTTCTGCGAGAACATGAGATGGTCTGGGAACCCTTTTCTTAGTTCTTTTGTGCCTTTGTCCTTTTTCCTGTGCTTGGGTGGGGGTTTGATTGTGAAGTTTGAGAATAAATATCTATTTTTTGAATGAAGTTGAAAAGCAAACTCTGTTATATTATCAAAATTAAGGCATGGTTAGTTGTTTGCATGCTGTTCTTTATGGATTCCAAGTTAGATATTTGTTCATGATTGGAGACAGTAGGGTAGTGGCTGGCCATGAACAAATGATGGTGAAGAATTTTAAAGAGTTGCAAAGTTTTGAAAGAGCATGGGAGTGTATAAGTTGTCGGGGACCCTTGTATTTTTTATCATTTGGGTTTTTTGTATGTTTGGGGTTGGGGGTTTAATTGTGAAGTGTTGACAATAATATCTAGTTTTTTTTAATGAAGTTGGATTAAAGGCAACTTTGTTATTTTATTCAAATAAGTCATATGTAAGGTGTTTGGATGCTGACCTTGTATCTTTCATGGACTCCAAGTTAGAAATTTATTCGTAATTGTAGCCGGTGGTACAGTGGCTGCCATTGAATACATGATGGTGAAGAAACAAAGAGCAGCATTCACTTCAGAGAATTCTGCAAATGGTCTGATACCATCAAAATCGGGTTTTAATCTTTTTGTTCACTTTTCATATTAAACTAAACAATGGAACCCATTCAGATTTTAGCAGAAAGTGATATTTTATCTTAATTATAGCTATTATGCTATACTTATGGAGAAAGCTATATAACAAAGTGCCTTAGTGAAATAAGAAAATCAAAAATGTTGCATCTCCATAGTCATCTTGGAACGAGTTACTGGATGGTAGTTAGAAACAACAAAAGTAGACTTAAAGCAGTACAACACAGTAGCTCCTTGTAGAAATTGTGGCCATTGTTGTATCTCTTTCATTCTAACTTGCTCTATGGTATTTGTGTTGCGTGGGTTCTATCTTGTATATATTGGGTTTGATGATTCTTGATCCGACCATTGCAGTCGCTGGATATATGAATAATCTGATGGTTAGGAGCTATTTTTTTTTTTACTCGTTGCAATAAGATCTTACGAACAAAAAAAGCAGCAATAAGATTGCTTCAGGACCTGCATCCTTTGTGCTCAGTTTTTATCAATTCATTTTGCATTCTCTATTTACTGTGATTATATACATTTTCAGGGATTTCTTGGGTACTACCACTTCAAGAGCAAAACACATCAGGATGAGTTTTGTCCTGAAGGTTTATGTAAAGCTGCAATGTTTGCTTTGCTCGTCAAGGAAGAGCTTGGTTCATGGCCAGAACAGAGCACCCGAAGTAGAAAATGGCTAACTATACCTGAAGCAGTAGAGAGTTGCCGGCATCCATGGATGAGAGATGCTCTAGTACAAGGTTTCTCCAAGTGGCATGACGAGAAGATAAATACTGGGGGAGAATTGCCAGATCAAGATTGAATTGGGCAGTGGACAAGTGAAAGTGTGCTTGGTAAGTGTATGCTGACAAGCTAGTATCTGTCTGAACTATTCTGGCCAAGTTTTTCTTTCACTTGTTCATCAATTGTTCTGGCACTGAGACTGCTCTTTCACATGTTCAATTAGTACCTTGCATTATTGAATTTTTTTGCTTCATTCTTGTTATATAGGCATCCTGTTACTGACCTCACTGATATCCTTTTAATCAAAAAGAGGAAAACTAGTAGGATTATTTTGTTACGCCCCTCATAGATATTTCTTAATGTTTCATTTTTTCTTGAGTACCAACACTTCAAATGGGGAGGGGAGAACATGTTCATGGGTGAGACTCAAACCCGCGGCACATGACATTATATAATAGTTTCTAACTTATTTTTCAGTCTACCATTGTCGTACATAAAAGCTTCCGTTTGACCTGCACTTTTAAGCATTTTTTGCTAAAGCGTGTTGATTTTATTTTACGGCGAAACCCGTGGGTTATCTAAATAATGGTAGAATGAGAAATAAGTTGGAAATCGCGTTATGTAGGGAATGAAAGTCCAAAAATTGGACTGATTTGGAAATTGATTCATTCTTTTTGCCTCTATTCTAAGCCTAATAACTTTTTTGGCTAATTACTTCACCTCTAATGGGTTAAAATTAAACACATACCACTCTACCCTCTGCTAAATTGGTGACTTTCCAGGAGTTGAAAAATATGTTCTACATATAAAACTTTTATCAGGTGTAACTTTCTGGTTCGGAGACTTAAGGCCGTGAGTGCTCTAGAATTTGTTAAGAGATTTATGGTTTATAAGGTTACACTTGACTTCAGTCCTGCGTCCCTTCGGGTTCTCCGTACCAAAAAGGAGAGCCGCGGCTTCTTGTTTTCTTTGTAGGCTTAGACTTGGTTTGGTACGGCGTTAGAGAAAACTTGAAATCACTTTTCTCGTATATTCGTTAACCATTGGTGACTAGTTATGATTCATCGTAAATTTTTAGTTCCAATGTGAATAATTTGTCTTTGGACAATGAAAAAAATTAGTCGAGATACAGATAAACTGGTTCGAATACTCTTGATCGTTGAACTAAAAAAAAAAATTGGGATATTGTTTCATCAGTTCAACTAGTCAAGTTGTATTTTAGCACAAGCCTTTGACTTAAAATCGTCATCAGAAGGGTAAGACTATGACACCAACAAAATATTCTACTAAAAGTTTGATATAAAATAAGATTAATTACAACTCATTTGAGACTAGATTGTTACTAAAAGAAACCTAAACGACTTAACGGGTTAAATTATAACTAAAAGAATATGAATATTAAGATTGATCAAAAAACGATACAGCTTTATCGTGATCTCACTAAAATTGTAATTACTTCTAATACAGTATTGAAAAATAACTCTTCGATATGACACTCTTACCCCCATCACATTCAGGGCCTACAAAACAGTGAGAAACGATGGCTATAATGACATCATGGCAAAGTGACATGCACTTCTCTTGCACCCTAAATCAGGTTACTGGGATATAGATATGCAAAAAAGGGCATAAATGTAATATAATATATATGTCCAGAATGTAATAAACAAAACATATGTAACAACGATGCATAGGCTTTTCAGGTGCCAGGCAAATAAACGTCTTCAGACTACCAAAAACTTAATAAATAAATAAGATCGTAGGATCTACTTTGTACAGAATGAAATAGTCACACCATGTCTATGCTATACACTAGAAAGCTCACCTCTGTTAAATGCAAATACAATTGGCGCAGTGCTCATCAACTGAATGGCAGGCCAATCTAAACCCTTCTCTGTTTCATTCTCTCTGCTCTTTGTTTATTAAACACGCGTATCCGATCGCTGTATCATCCACTGCAGTAATCGTATCATGCATAAATAATCGACAGCCTAGTGCAGCAGCAGCTTCTCACCTTTGAAACGTGTTGAGAGCCGAAACCCGTATGCTCTCAAGCAAGAAAGGGATTGAGAAGGCACTTTGAGTTTCATAAGAAGCCAGTTGTATTAGATGAGCTTTCATCAAGAACAATATCAGCAGGATCTCCGATCCATGGTCTCCCTTCTCTCCACTGAAACTTAATCCTCAACTTTCCATTTGCGTCTACCCCCACCACTCGACCTTTGCTTGCATGTGTTTCCATCCCCCATCCCCAACGTGGTGTCACCAGCCCTTCCCTGATCCTCACTCTGTCCCCAACTTTGAATGGTCTGACTCTTGCCATTTCCCAAGACTTGCATAACCATAGTCTCTCGGTGAAACAAAATGATACCCAAAGATCCCCATCTTCTATGCGGTGCACCACTCCAAGGCTCAAATGAGTCACATCTCCCCAGTGATGAGTAGGGGTCGAAACTGATGCCCTGACCCTAACCCAGTCTCCAATGTGAATCTCCTCTTCCTCCACCAGATCTACTTCAGACGGATCTAGCATCCAAGCTTTAGAGCCAGCGGGAGTATATATTCTCAACTTTCCATCTGCATCAATTGCCGCTATTATCCCAACATTTGCATGGCTGTGGCCCGACCAACCAAACCTTGGCTGCTTCACACAGGATCTAATCCTAACCCGCTGCCCAACCATAAGCTTATCCACTCTTTCAAGATGGCTACTAGGTCCAACCCATTGATCTTGTTCCCCGCAAAATCCAACAAAAACACTACCATCCCACTGATCTCCTTCGTACCCAATACCTTGTACAATACCTATACTACCTGGCTCAACAGATTTCCAACTACTTGCATTCTCCCTCATTCTGACCCACTCCCCCACTTCAAACAACTGCTCCAGCACGAGATCTGCAGGATCTCCTCTCCAAAAGCCTGGCAAACCAAAGAATGCCACCCTTACTTCTCCATCAGCATTAACATTTGTTATAACACCCCTTGCATCAGGTTGGGCCCCTCTCCAGCCCCACCGTGGCTCAACCAGCCCAACTCGAAACCTAACGTGCTGTCCAATTTTGAATCCTGGAACCTTTTCGACATCCGTGTAATGGGTGATCCACTTTCCCTTACGGAAACAACATGCCAATTCTAAATAACCTGTATCCTGTACACTATGCACAACTGCTAAACTTTCTTTCCCAATACTGTTCCAATCATAACTGGGTCTGGTCCCAAGGCTCGGCTTTGAACGTACCCAATCGCCTACTTCAAATCCTGAAAGTCGTTCTGCATCTCCAGGAGAAACTTTCCACAAGCTATTTCTGGCAGCCACTCTTACCTATGAACAGATAACCAAAAGCAGCACTTGATACGCAAATAAAGATGTACAAGGAAAACTGGATACGGAGCAAGCCTTTGGGAGGAATATACAGGCAGTACCGCAAGAGGCCCATGTTTTTGTAAATGAGTTGCCTAATTAGTTATATGAAGGACACGCCAATTATTTTAAGACAATCAAATCAGCAGAGACAGATAATTTGAGGCGTGCCATTGTTCCACTGACAAATCAGTCGCATTCATTTAAAGCGATCTTCTAGATTAAACAAGAGAAGAGAAAACTCACATTTAAAGCTCCATCCATGTCAATTCTGACAATTTTTCCAACAGTCGCAGGAGTTTCAGTTGACCATCCAAGCCGTGGCTGAGTAACAGATGTCATCACACGGATCTCTTGTCCCACTTCAAAAGGAGGCACCGTCTCCACGTCTGTCACAGAGCAACAGAAAGGTTTGCTCCTGAAGCAAAAGGCAATTCCCATATCACCATCCTCCTCCAAACTGTGGATCACCCCAATGCTGTTCCTTGTGATGTCCTCCCACCCGTATTTTGGGGATGATACTGAAGCTTTTACTCTAGCCCAATCCCCAACCTGGTCATGTTTGAATGAATGTAGATAGAATACACAAAAGCATGTCAAACCATGCATATCCCAAGCCATGCTTAATAAGAGGACTTGTGCTGATTACCTTGAAATGCTCCACTTTTTCCATGTCTGAAGGATCAGCCTGCCATGGTATGGGCCGATTTGAAATTTCAATCATCAGGAGACCATCACTCTCTATCTCGCTTATTTTTCCAACACTATGATGGGTTTCACCACCCCAAGCATATCTGGGCTCTGCAACAGAGCGCTTCACACAAACCCGGTCACCAATCTGTGGAAGTCATCAGAATACTGTTGAAACGGCCAAAAACCAAAAAGACGGCAAAAGTCAACAACCTTATGAGTGAGGAAAACCAAATGTCTTGCCTCACCTTGAATGGCTCAACAGGTTCAATCTCCTCTGGTTCACAATGCCACGGATGTGGAAGATAGTTCAATTCTAATAATACACTGTTATCTGGTCTGATACAATATACAATACCAATGCTCCCCGGTGTTACGGATCCCAATCCATGCTTTGCAGTAGTAAGGGTGGGGCGAATACGAACCCAGTCACCAACCTTGAATTCTTCAACCCTTTCCATTTCTGTTGGATCAGCTTTCCATCCTCTAGATGCTCCAGGAAAACCGACACGCAGAATCCCATCATCGTCAACACATAGGACAGTTCCAATGCTGTCACGTGATTGACCACGCCAACCAAATCTATAACAAAAAAGTGCAGCTATCATCAGTCAACCATTAATGGAGAAAGCATACAGAGACTGCAACATAACACATCACACAAAGCTGACTGGTGTCTGGAAACATGCCTTAAAGAAAGGGGTTGGTACCACCAGTTCAATCGCCATTAATCGAGGGGTGCTGGGAGGGTTAATGTGTCCAAACCCAACCTTTGGCACTATTTACACAAATGACTGCCCTTAGATTTGAACTTACAACCTCAGTTGTTAGTTCAACACTTTCACCACTACAGCAAACAAACATGCATAGATAGTGTATTTTGCATCCAAAAAAGGTCATATTCCTAGCTAACAGCACACACTTAGCAGTTATCAAATTGAGTACAAGACGAAGAGACCACGCCCGATGCTTCATATCAAGTTAATTTTGTTCTATTTTAACGGTAAGTGCAACTGCAGGAGTCCCATCAAAGTTGGGAATCTATCAGATTGGCAACCTAAAACTGCTACAAAATCCAAACAATCCTCCTCTGTTTCAAAACGTTTTTAAATCATTCCAGAATGAGTCACTAGGTTAGCTACTGATGTGAAATGCTACTGAAGAAGCTATACCAAAAGTATCTATAGTCCATGAGTATAAACAAATTGATTAGTAAGCACTTAACAACTAATGGGGGCAATGATATAACATGTCCACCAAACATAACAACTCCAGCCTAATTTCTAGAGAGAGTGAGAGTATGTGTTGGCATTTCTGATAAGACACAGTTAGCATAGTATGCCCACAACAATGAAGGTTATGGAGACTACTCATTCTCACTTTCGCATTCTTTCAAACACCAAATGTAGCGAGAATGAAAGTTGCAGATATTAAACTCGAACATCAAGATCAATTGTATATGTGGGATCTCTTATATGTACTTTGTATTGACGCGTCTACTGCTCACTTTAAATATTTTTGTGAGAAAAGATGATGCACACAAGTCGCTATCTTCCATTTTCTGTATAAACTCAAATAGATTAGTCTGTTATTTATTTATAAACTGCACTCAAACCTCATGAGTTGAACCAAAGCAACACAAGCTCTTTACTTTCGAAAATTTGCAACAGGCATCCGCAGACATCACGTATCACCGGAATTCCAAAAGCACTCCTCAGCACCACCACCCATAAACCAGAGGCAACCCACACCTACCCTCCCTCTCACCCTCCTCCTCCCCCCCCCCCCCCCTCCCTCTCTCTCCCTCTCTCATATGCACATACACAGGTTTGGGTTGTGATGAAAGGATAAGTTGTTTGAGTTTGCTGGTGGTGGAGGTGGCGGCGGCAAGTGGTAGTGGTGTGGAGTGACTATATTTGTTCTCAGTGTGGATTCCAATTAGGGGATCTTCTGTGGAAGGGGAAGGGGCTACCAAGGTCTTCCTTAGGAAGATCGTCAGGGAAGACAGTTTGACCGCTCTTGATAAGATTTCTTACTAATTTAAACGAAGATTTTGAAGAGTAAACAAGTCATTTCTCAAATAAAATGTCCAGTTGGATACGTTGTGTCATCTTGAAAGTGTCAGAGGTTGTCATATGTCATAACCCAATACCTCTTCACCAGTAATCAAAACGGGCTTCTTTTTTTGGCTTTTCTTCACACAACTTAGTTGTAGAATTTGACCGCAGAAAGTTTTCTTATTGCGATAATATAAGTTTTTTTATGGGTAAATGTGACAATAAGGGTGTTATTCACTTATTTGAGTGATATTGAACCTAAATCTTCTCCCCTATTATAGGGCAAACCATTTGGTAAAAGTAGTCACAGACTCACCAAGTCGAATCACAACCCTGTTTTCTTTTCCTTCCATTTTTCATATTCATTCTTCTATGCTCTCCATGTCTTCTAATAGATGATCTCCTTTCTCTACCTCTAATCTGTTTTGTATAAAATTATACTATTACTATATAAAGGGAATCTCTAGCCTTCGGGAATAGAGTCCTTAAAAAAGTTTGAAAACCCTTCAATACCTCTGTGGTATTACAATTACCCCAGCCTCAGTTCACAGATTTCATACAAGTGATCTAGGGTTTTACTGTAACGATTCAGAGACACATATATCAAAAAAGTCCATATCTTTTTATGTGCAAAAGGTTATTCCTTATTTTGGCCAAATACTTGTGTACCTCAAATTTCTAAGTTTTAAGAAAAACAAAAACAAAAAAAAAAGTAACGTGAAACACAATACTAAGCCGAAAATGTTGCACATCACTTGCTTCTAGATTGTGCAACTTATCACTCCATGGACAGTACTTCTCATCAAGGTCCTTGCAATAGATCAACAATTTATAAACATCCAATCAAAGGATGCACTGCATGTATATCTGAAGACTTTGTGGACGAGTTCTTCAATTACTGTCACTTGAAGCTCCAATTTCCCTTTGCTTTTCATTTGGGACAAAGAGGGTTTGTTAGCTTAATTTGTGGATCCCTTTGTTTGCTGGTTATGCTCAAGTTCTAAGAGAAGAAGAAACATATTTTACATAGACTACTCTTTTCAGCTTCATGGTGTCAGACGATGAAATGAAATGCTAGAATATGAAGTGCACAACCAAAAGTAATGTTGATTGCATACTAACTAGCAATGGAGATCCTATGCTAAACTTCAGGTTTTAAGACCCTGACTAACCACATAAACAACGTTGGTGCCAAAAATTCCTATGAAGTCTTAGATAGAATATAAACCATGATGGCACATACAGAAAAAATTACATTTCAGATCAGTTCAAATCGGAATCATAAATTAACTTTATTTGTAACTCCAAAACAATCTCCTTGGCAGATTGGATTTCGGACAGAGAACATGCCGAGAGGGAACATACAATTAACATAAATAATTGCAATATGGTGCAATTTCAAATTACAGATGAAAGATATAAAAACACTACCTTATACATCTCCATGTTAATATCCAGCCACAAGTAGTTTGGTTTGACAGTCAGTATGAAAGGCAACTTACCATGGAAATATGAATAATCAAATAGAAAAACAATGAAAAAAAAAACTGCATTGACAGTAACATATAGTCAAACCTTGGCTCTTTGACATCTGGTTTAAGTTGCACATGCTGTCCCCTATCCAAAGGAATCACTTTTACAACTTCATTTGCCAGTACACGAGCTTCTCCCGAACAAAATGACACGATAAGATTGTCCTTGTCTGGGACACTTTGCACAAACCCAACACTCTTGTGTGTTGCACCTTGCCACCCATGGGTGGGACTCATAACACTTCTTTTAAATTTCACCCAGTCTCCTACTTGAAATCTAAACATCAAGTCAAAACATAAATTATAACCTACTATATTTATAATCAAGTATGCAATGAAAAATAAACGATCAAGAATAAGCAACAAAAACTGAAGCACAACAACAGTTTTTTGCTTTACACTGTAGGAGACAAATGAACGCCCCTATCCGAGAGTGCCTCCAGGAGATCTTCAGAAATCCATTCCCGGGGAAGAGCCTCCAAGAAGTCACGCAATGTCTTACCACTGTCACCCATCATAAAAACATTAGCAAGGAAAGTTCAATGGCACAAGGTCTTGGAGCATCCTTTAACTTCATGCTGTCTTTGAACATGGAAAATGTTTAAGCTTACAAACAACAAAGAAGGTAGTTAAACTCTACACAGAAGTCTTGCTATTACAAGGAAAGCCACATGAACAAGCAAACACAGTAACTGGAACTTGCCTGTGATTCCTAACAGTAATAGCAGCCCCTGGAAACCTAAGCATGATCATGATCCACTCAAGATTTTCGCGTATCATCTTTGCTGCTTCAGCTGCCATATGGAAAGCATTATCACCTTCATCGTCCTGATAATGATGAGCAAACACATTGCGTATCAGTGGAAAGCAGAAGAGGACCTACTCAGAAAATATCACGGAGATGAGAAACTTATGTTAACATGAAATTTGCAATATCATTCACCAATAGAATCGGTTGAAAAACCCATAATAAAATTTGTTAATGCCAATTACGCATTTACAACTCTAAATTCCCATCATTCATATTTCTGCATTTTTCTTTTCTGGGGTTTCAAATATTTTCTCATTGTTCATGACAAGAAATGTCCCAAACATTTCAATATCTTCTATAATTCCACAGGCAAGCCTTAACTGTGTCAGATAAGTCAAACTCCCAAATCATTATTCACATTCAGACTCTTCTGAGAAAGAGTCACATCGCGGTGTGTTTCAGATAGATGATGCTGTCATACTTCACCCTGTTGCACCATTCTTCCTCTATCTTTCTTGAACCATTACATATGCTTACCACACCAAGCATATGCTTTTCCCGAACTTGATTTGAAATGGAATTCAACTTTACCTTTTACCTTATTTCTTTATTAGATGCATGCCAACTCCATTTTTTTCTGTTTCCTTTTTTTTCGGTTTTGTATTGCGTGCATCCATAGCAAAATAATCAATATTTCGTTTAACAAGTGCATGATATAAGGATGAAGTCTAAATCATATTAGACATTGGTGCCATACTACTCGATACAAATTTATGCAGTTTTATGCTTGAACAAAACCATGGCTGAAAAAACCTTTGCATATAGCAAGCACTCAAGTGAAAGCTAAGCAAATTATGCAATATTGGACAATTACATTGCACAACCCAGTTCAATGCAGTACGGAGGTTTAATGATTAAACCATGTCAAATATTGCCGAAACAGATGCCACTCAAGCTAACAGTAGATAGTAGTAAACGTTGTACAACCTGTTATAGATTACATGTACACAGGCTTATGCCCACTTGGCACCCTTCTGTGATTTGTTTACCAGTTATCAACAAAAGCTAAGAAAAATCTCAGATAGCCATTTGCAAAACTATGGACGTAATCAACCTATACAAGAAGTAACAAACCTGCAAGTTACAATTTGCCCCAGCAGATAGAAGCAATCCAACACATGATTTTGCACCTCTGGCCAATGCCACATGAAGAGGTATCACATTGTGCACATCCCTGATATTCACATCAACTCCAGCATCGAGAATAATCTACACAAGAATTCTAATAATTATGATTACTTTATTCAGAAACCAGAAATCCTAAACAGACTTGTCCTATAGCATTACTAGAGAAGCCATTCAACTTACCTTGACCAACTCCACATCATTAGCCATAGCAGCAGCATGCAATGGTGTCCGCCCATGCTGGGTATCTTGGGCAGTTGGATCTGCTCCTGCAGCAAGCAGTATTTCTACCAGTGCCCTCCCCTCTGCAAATGTATATAAAATTAATTGGTAAAGGTAATAAACCAAACAGGAGAGATATGAACAGAAGAGAAATAGAAAACAAGCCATTTATTAACAGCTACTAATGGTAATTAGCAACCATGTAACGAGTAATAATTGTGGAATTTTAACATCTAAGCTTTACCAGCTTCATGATCTTTTTTCAAGGCTGCTGCCATACACAACGCAGTGCCAATAGGACAGGGTATATCAATGGCATCAGCAATTTCTTCTGCAGATGCAATTTCCACCCATCTTTTGACAACAGCAACATTCCTTGTTGTAACACTCAAATGCAGAGGCCTGTGGCATGATAAGACTAGATTATGAAGCGTAGAAAGGCATTTGATGAAATGAAATCAAATCATGTACAAACTAGTGCTAACCAAGTATCTGGTCCTCCTATGTGCCATAAATATGTTAGTTGAAAGGAAAATAGATTGCAGAGATGTGCTCCAATCTACGCAGTACTAAGTAAGTCTTTCTCCTAGATTTGTATATGAATAAATGGGATTATTCTCATACAATATGCCCTCTATCATGATTTTCCCTCATCAATCAAGTACTATCTAATTGACTTTCAAGAGACGAACTAGTCTCCCAAACAAATAATCATCTACCGAGGTTAAATAACTAAAAGGAAGAAAGTAAGATGTAAGGATTGGTTTTAAATTTAAGAATGCCACAAATGGACCCTGCACTGCTCTAGAGGTTGGCACCTACACTAGCACTAATAGGGCCAAAGGCCGGTACAAGCTCAAACTGCTCTGATACATTGTTGCACTCATGAGAATCCTCTTATGTCTCCAAGGAGAACATATAAAGGATAAGAAAGGCCACAGCAGAACATGAAAGTATAGACTCTTGATTAGTACCCATAAATGTGTACGCCTGTTGTTCGCCAGGGGTGAGGCAAGGGGAGATGTGGGAAGTGGAAGAGGAGTGTATGACAGTATTAAGAGTACGGTTGGATTCTTCAGGAGAGGAGAGAAGAGGATGAGTGCAGGTGAAGTCAAGGAAGAAGAATATCCAAATGAACATCTACATGTCAAATACAAATTGTAATCTCTTTACAGAAAACTAATCCCTAGATACTAAAGGCAATTGCCACTTCCCCTGTCCCTCCAACAATGAATCCATCTCCCTTTATCAAACATTAATTTAGGGTGCAACATTTAACAACATGGTATTAGTGCTGCCTTAACAAGCAGTCAACAAGAATACCAAGAGTACTAAGGTGGGCTAGTCGTATCGCAAGAAACCCATTCAATGTACAGAACACCCTAATCATGTTGGGAAAGGTTCAATGAATCATTAAAATAGAATCAGGGTGGGTCTACACAACTTGTTTATTAGGAAACCACCACCCCTTTACTAAACATTAGACTAAAGAAGATTATGAGCAGCTGTCTAAGAGACATCCCCACACCAAGAGTCATACCAAAAGCACACTTTAACTATTCCCAACACAAAATATATATACAGAAAACATCCACCATGAATCATAGTATCATGCCAAAAGCACAATGTTCAACTATCCCACATCATAAGGTCAATGTATTTGGAGAACTCCCGCCAATCCCTTCTAATTCCCACCATTGCCTACCCAGCATACCACTATAAGTGGTATTAATATTATTTAACACCATATATGGTGCAACCTATGAAGCACGGATGCCTTGATCGGGGTGACATTCGTATCGGATACATATCTGATACCAATACTCGTTGATAATCGTAGATACGTATCGGATATTTTTCGCACGTATAAAATAATTAATCAAATATTTATCATTGTTGGATACTTGTTGGATACACTAATCTCCACGGTGAATACATTCCCCTTATACTTAATGAGATGGGTTATTTAGAAACTGTGAATCATACAAATGGAGATTCCTTATTCCAAAATGTTCATTTGGACGTGCATCACATACATGACAAGGTTAGTCAATTCTTTACAAATTGATTGACTTGAAAAATGAATTTTTATGGCTTATGTTAAAGCCAATGAAGTTTATTGCAATTAAATGCTATGTAGAAGTTGAGGACTCTTGAAGGATGACACGTTTTAAGCGTTATAATTGCATAGAATCTTGAATCTAAAACACCATTAAACAGTCCTATGTCAGTAACATAAATTATTTTAGTTTGGATGTGTTTTATTTTTTAATCCCTCATATATCCCTAATGTTGTAAACTTGTAATAACATTATAATACACACACACACACACACACACACACATATATAAACATATCCTATCCCTACCCGTATCATGTTTTTTGAGATTTTATCGTATCGTGTCGTACCCGTATCCATATCTATGCTTCTTAGGGTGCAACTGATTATAAAAGTGAAGTGAATGTCTGGCAACAGGAACAGTGTTAAAGCAAGTGTAATAGGCAAAAGAATAATTCATTCCTAGCTGACACCAAACAAGAAATCACTATATTAAAGTTAGTCACTGCTCCACATGACATTGAAAATGACTCAATCCGCCAACAAAACAAAACAAAAAAAAACATAAAAGGACCCCATACAACCCACACATAACTCATTCGTATAAAAAAACCCTTAATTTTCCAAGGTTTCTATTGCCCCTCAACTCTCTGCATTCTCCTCCGACCTCACAATGCTCGTACCCCTCTCCCTCCCTTGTTTTCCTTCCTCTCTTCCATTTTCTCTCTCTAAAACTCTAACGGTTTTCAAACTTTTGCTTGAGCTGCCGACTTTCACTCTCAATATAAAGTTTCATATTCTTTATATTCTTTGGCTTAAGCTGTCGACTTTGTCAGTAAGCTTCATATTCTTTGGTTTGGTCCTGAAAAATCATTTAATTGGTTTTTGCATTTGAAATAAGGTGCATTTGATCTCAAGCATTTTTTTTCTTTGAAATTTAATGGTGTTTCCTGTTTTATTTCTGCAAATATAGGCAGGTCGTACTAGTTATGATTCCCAAGGATCCAATAAGACCACTTAGGTCTATGTTGCCATGATATTGTTCTATGGAGGCAGTCGGGCTATTAAAAGTTCGGCCCAGTTTTTTTGGTGTTGTGCGGGAGTGATTGATCTTTCTAATGCATATTTAGTTGTACCAGCATGTCTCCGCTGATTTGTTTTTTATCAGAGCATCAGGCAGCGCAACTTAGTTCTACTTGACTAAGCTTGTGCTCGTCCAAAGAGAGGCTTCTATGCCAATCAGGAATATCACCTCTGTTACAAAAAGAAAGCGGCAAACAAACTAATTTGGCCGGTGTGCAACTTCCAGTTCTATGTAAGATAGTCGCTTGATTCGATCTTCTGAATCCCTTCACCTATCTAGCTCGTCGGTGCCTAGCAGTTTAAGCCTAGGTCCAGCAACTTATGTATCATGATCCGACCAAGATTGGTGCTAACAATGAGAGATGTATAAGCCCGATGGATAACGTTCAACAACTTCAAAAGGCGTTTTGTTTGGCTTGAATATGCACTGCTCACTAGTCAATGGAAGCTCTTTTGTGTCCCATGCAATCGGGCTCTTCTATTTTTAACTTTCTGTTGAATCTTCCCCAGGTCAGCTGCGGAGATAGATACACTGGCTTCCCCCAACGACACCCACTTCACCCTATATTCTCTGTCATTTTTATCCTCCGTGTGCATTTCTTTCTTTCTTTTTTTTAAATAGGAAACAAACTTTTATTAATAAATAAAATAAAGTATTACAACAGGCAAGCCAAAAATCACTCAAAATCATGAAAAGATAGGCCACACCACACAAAGCTGTCCAACTTGATGTAATACAAAAAAGAGGGTCACGTGTAACCCCCTTTGGTGTGAAAAGTTGGATACAAGTGAAGCTGGTCGTGAAGATGATAGTTTTGAATTGCCAATGCAAGTTCATTGCCAACATCAAGTTGATGCTGAGGATGCATCTGGTCATGCACTTGTAACTGGTGAAAATGGGAAGATAGACAGAGAAAGGCTGGTAAGCATACACTCATTCAATGGTATGGAAACTGTGACTTGCCATTTCAGTTAGTTAAGTACTGGGGAGTTAAGAACATCTTCACCTGCTTATATCAAGAAGTTAACTTCATTAAAAAGTATACTGCTAAGGCAAATGTTTAGACACTGCATACCAGAGAGTTGAATAGACTCTCTCTCATGTTACATGACCTGCCCAATAGGATTAGTTTGACTTCTAATATGGGTCTCTTGCATGAATCCTCCACATGGTGGTATTGCACTGGTAGACAATATTAATAGTTTGGTGAGAATGAGCTATCGAGAACAAGATTATTGCAATTAATATTGCAGCAAATAATGTGTTAGTTGACATGCTTAGGAGTAAACTCAGTTTGAGAAATGTATTGTAGAGTGATGGTAGTCTATTATGTATTTGTTGTTCAATTCATATTATTGACAGTCCAAAAGAGGTTGAATGAAATAGATGAAGTTGTTGATAAGATTAGACTGTGACAAAACTATGTGAAAGGGTCTCAATTCTTAGAAGCATGTGTCAATTTGGATACATAACTTAATTCTTCTGTAATTAGATACAAATATGGGTCCCAATAATATAAACAACCAGGAATAGTTGTACTTATCTAGAGTTGTTCAAAAAAACTCGATCCACTGTAATATAGAGGTATAGGTCAGCATGGCCTATTCCAGCAATTAATGGAGCACAAATACTTCTCAAGGCTCAACTAGAGCATCCGATTTCGTATCTGTATCCAATAGCTTTGGATACACACGGATCTGTATCGACTACAGACAGATGCATCTCAGAGGTTCTACCGATATGACTACTATCAAATACATCCACGGATGGACAGGAATGTAGATATAATATATCCTTAAATTTTTTGTGTCGTGGTAACAGCATCATGTCACACCAGCAACCCATTCCGTATCCATGCTTCCTAGCCAGAATCAGTTTGTCCAAACCTTAGCTCCATGTTTCTTACAAGCTACAACAATTCAGAAAAGAAGGCTACAAGTATTTTACCCCCAAATAATAAAGCGAAAAAAATTAGCTATCACACAATAATAATAAGAAGAAGAAGAATATAAGATGGACTAGTAATGAAGGAAAAAAGCATTGGCCATACCAAAGAAAAAAAAAAAAAGAAACATGTACTTACGTCATATTTTTTGAATTCAGGTGACCCATAGACCTACAGCCTCCGTTTTCCAATATGACAATGGCACAGTCAGTATATTTCTTGGCAACAGCTCTATGTAGCACAGATTCACCTTCATCATCCACTGCATTTGGATCAGCCCCAGCCAATAGCAACTCCTGTTGGCATTCAGAAAAATATCAGGAACAAATACTCACACCGATCCATACTAGATCTGACCAACTCTCCAACTTCGGATGAGTTTGAGGTCTCTGACGATTACATGAAACAAAAATACCCAAATATTCTATCCCCTGTGACGTTCCTTTTGCAGGGGTGGTGGAATTATGGTTTTTGAGCTTTAGCGTTATTATATATTCTGTTGGTTTCACTTTGTTTCATCCTTGTTTTCCTTGTCTATATATGTAGCACTTCCTTTTAACACATTCTCCTTCTTTTTGACTTTTTAACTATTTTCCCAATTTTTATCATATACACACACATGGCTAAGAAAAACCTACACGCATGCAATCTGGTTGACCATGGTAGGCACAAACATGAGCAATAGATGGACCACAGCCTTCTCTCAACCTAGATCTGACATTTGCATAACGCTTGATAAGAGCACGAACACATTCTGGGGACCCAGCTGCTAAAGCAAATACGAGTGGCGGATCCCCATCTTTGTCAAGGACATCAACATTTGCCTCTTTGTACTCCAAAATGGCCTCAACAAGTTCTGCACTGCCCCGTCTACAAGCCAGGTGAAGAGCAGTTTGGCCATCATCATTCTGTGCTTCTAAAAGAGCATGTAATGAGCTGCCACTGTTTCCTGATACCGCCTTTGCAAGCAATTCCCTGCATCAACATATGCAGATGAATACAAAACAGATAGCAAAAGGTTTTCTTTTTCAGCGAGATAGGTAAAGGTGTTAAGTGGACTGACCTAACACCGTTCACTTTTCCTTCAGATACAAGCTGGTGTAGGAGGTTAGGATTATCTTGGACAACTTCCAAATCTGATGAAGGGGCTGAAACCATCCCATTTGTTCCAGAATATTTGGTCAATTCACTGCGTATTCACACACGGCATTTATCTATATTTTCAGTCACCAATCAATATACAAAATGCAACCTTACATACACAAACACAAAGGTGTTCACCACACCTAGCGAAGGACAATGGAGAAAGCCATAATTGAGACAAAGGGGTGGGGATGCTATTCTTGCTCCAGCAATCTCACAAGTGCTTAGCAACTGAGAATTTAACAAACGAGGATACCATATAAAAGTATGTTCTTACTTATCAGGGCTAGCTGGAGGGCTGCGAGGTATCTCTTGCAGGTTCCGTAGGAATATCGCTAACATTGCGTTAAAAGTTGGTCTTTTTGATGCCTTGAATTGAAGGCACTCACCAATCATCTTCCATAATTCCCTCGGTATTCCAACTCCTACCACACCGGCATATTGGGGAGGTTGTCTGCGGCCCTTGACAACAGCCCGATATATTTCCTCTGCACTTAAACCAGCCCACCTACAAAGAAAATATCAACCGATATTATTGTTAAGCTACCATGCCATCTACAGCGAACAAGAACAATTCAAAACAATTAATTAACAAAAAAACAAGAGTTACTCCACATACGGTATAGAACCAGTACACATTTCCACCAATGTACAACCAAAGCTCCAGGCATCTGACTCGACAGATATACCAATGGCATCATCCCAGAAAAGATTCAACGACTTCTTTACTGGCTCCCATGCCTCTGGAGCAGTGTAGTTTGGACTAAGCATTGTACAATCCATACATGAATGAATTCTTGAGGAATCGCACTCAGCTTGAGCTTTTCGGCAAGCAGGTTTCTTTAGAATCGCTGAGAGGCCATAATCGGACACTACCGCACGACCAGTTGCATCCAATAGAAGATTGGATGGCTTTAGGTTCATACAAACAATACCTGCCGCGTGGAGCTCCGCCACCCCACGAGCAATGTCTGCCCCATATCTACATTCGAGAGATAACACCACACATCAAAAGGAGAGATATAAGCTGGTTGTTGCTAATAATCCCAGATATTCCAAAATAAAAATCAAAAAGCATTGTTTCTTGTCACCATCCCCATCTCCGTCACTGCTTGATAATTTTGGAAGCTTCTTAGGGTGTCCGTGTCATATGAAGGTTTTGGGGAGGAAATATTTCAAAAAAGAAACAAACTCTATTAATAAAATAAGAAATAGAGAAAGGGTAGACAAGAATGACAGAGTCCAAGTGGAGGGGTGAAGGACTACTAATTTTTCTTTCTTCTAAAGTCCTTATTCTGCTTACAATACTTTAAATTAAATCAAAGGATATTTTAGTCCATTACATCAATGTCACTCCTTCAATGATAAATTAGGCTACAAGCGTGGGTACAAAAAATTATAACCCTAGATTGGTTAGGTTACACTCAAGTACAGATGAACCCTCTTCACTTTAATTTTTTATCAGCTTTATGTCTAATATAAATTTCAACACCAGTAACAATGAACTATGGAGTACGTGTGTTTACTCACAAGCAATTACCCTAATTCAAGGCCAAACCAACTTGTTATTTATTCTTTTATTACAAATGCCAACATTCACAAAATTTAAGATGTAATCATGCATTTTCCAATTCATGAATGTTATCCAAGAAGCATATAAAGCAAACAATTAAACCTCAAATAAAAAAGGGTTCCCAACCTCCTTAATTTGGGCTTAAATCACCGTAAGGGATTTTCTGGGCTCACCCCAACTAAACTGGTGGTTTACAAAATTGGCAAACCACTACACAACCTAAAAATTAAGTCATCAAGGACTTTCTAAAAGTTTTCCTAGGCTCAGATGCCAACCAACCAAATGAACCTGTCACAAGGCCGCCACCACGAGCTAACATACAGCCAAACCATAACAAACAATAATTGGGTTTTCAGCAGGCTCACCCGTAACCTCTTATCTCCCATAATGTGTTTTCCTTCTGCTAATCCAATAACCTTTCTAACAACTCACTACACCTTCGCAGCACTACTTCACAGTCAACCACTTCTCTACTAGACTTACGATCTCCACTTGAGTATGCCAAAATCGTGTGTGTGTGAGTTCAAATAAGTGTGATGAATAATGTGTTAGATAGAACAAATAAATTCAGTTTATAACTCGAGGAATGAATACTGACTACTGTCAATTACCATTTCGTAGTGCTTGACAATGGACCTCTGCTGGTGTAGAGAGGAAGTCTATTTTAAGCTTCCCCGAATCCCTCAAAGGATGTTATCTAATATATCTTGACATTAGGCTCTCAATTTCTTCAATCAGCCCTCAAAAACAATAAGAGTATCCATAGGTATGCGCTCCAGCGGCTAATTCACTGACATACTTTTGAGATCCGCAGAATCTAGTCAATTGAGAGGCTTCCAGTTGACTGGCACTTAGCCAGTTGCCAGTCGACTGCCACAGTTCCAGCTTTTTATTTTTCTACTTTTTTTCAACCCAGAACTTGCTAGCCAACTTAGGGACGTGTCTAACCTACTATTGACTTCCTAAGACACTAAAAACTACTCCTGAGAGTATTGAACTCTTTCGGACGTTGTTGAAGTCTGCCCTGACATGCTCTACATATCAATTATCATCGCCCTTTGTTGATCACCTGAATTCTTCAAGCTGAGGCCCACATCCATGCTCTTCTAAACTTGTTAGCTCATGTCCTCAACATAGTTAAGCCCAGATACAAGATATGAAATTGTCAATCCTACTAAACCAAACAAAGAAATCCAACTAATTTCAAAAATATTGAAAAATGATTACAAAAGAAACCACTCCTGCACAAAACACATCAATTGGGAAAAAGATAAACTATAGGCCTACTCTGAATCAAATCATCGTCAGTATTACTCTTCTCGTGAGCAATAGTCAAAGCAAAAAATTAAACTTTCAAGGGTACCTTAACCTTCCAAATCATTAGAGAGATTGAAAATAGGAGAAAATTTATCGATTAGCACCCGAACAAATAAATTAAAAGAAAAATCCCACAAGAGTCAAAAGTCTAACAACTTCAATAGGAAGACGACAAATCCCAAGACCCCAAATTAAAATAGGCAATAACAAGAAAGTCCAGAAATTTACCTATCATTCAGATTTCTAGAAGATTTGAAATACCAACCATTCTCAACAGAAGATGATTTCAACATACAAACAACGGATGAATTATGTGTCTGAGAAATCTAATAAAGGCAAGAGAACAAAGATGAAAAAAGGACCTTGCCTCTTCAAATATCTTCCCAAAAGTGTCCCCAATCCTCATCACTTGTCTAATGAATTTAAAGAAGAGAACAAACACCACGTGAGATGAATTTCCAAAGACTGCCCCCACCACCACATTAGAATCTCACCCATTAGATAGCAACCCATACTTTTAAAATCGAAAAGCCACAAAAAATCTTGTTCTATAGGAAACCTCCACTTCCAACAACGCAACATTTCTTTTGACCAAATTTCCAACTACTAATCCCCCTTAGATCTTGATCTAGTATCCATGTCCCGACCAATCAAATGATCTACTTTACCTTGTAATTAATCAAATCATAAGGGTTGTTTGGCCATATGTATAATAAGTAGACATCTAGAAAAGGTGGAGAGGCAAGATAGAGAAGCATGGAACTAAATCAAGGAAGGAGAAGTAAATCGCTTTGCTCATTTCTATCAAAGTGAGAGGAGATTGTGGATGTCAGGGATTACCCTATCAAAATGGGAACTATGTTTCTGCAGTCATCGTACGTCAAAGAGGTTACTAGTTCAAACTAAAGAATTCAAGTATGATGAACCTACACCAACATAAATCTGCTATGTTTAATTTATAAATAACCATAGGCATAGACTAAACTTTCTAACTTTACCGAATGAATCTAGTCTTCCTGACTTTTTTTTTATATCAGCAACAACAGAACTTTTGTTTCACAGGATCCGGTACAAGAAGGGCGAGTTATCTTCCAAACAAGAAAGTTACAAAAAAATACAATAAAAACCATAGCCAAATCACTATTCACAAGCAGGTATCTATGCTGCCTAATAAAAACAACAGAATATCCACAAAATCCGAAGTAAGTGAAGCCCCAAAGGATGCCAAAAAGCAAACACTTCCCCACAAAGCAACCTCATCTTCAAACTCCAATAATTCTTGCCCTACATCTCACCATCATACCCAAAAAATAGCAATATCACACATCTCCCAAAGAGTTTGAGCTTCACATCTTCCCCAATCCCCAAAATTGAATGACAAGCATCGAAACACAAGCTAACAGAGGGGGAGAGGGAGAGCGAGAGACCAAACTCATCTCCACCAAAGAAAATAACCTCTACCAAACCAATAGAGCAATTAGATAATGTAATGAACTTTTGCCTTTCAAATCATCCTCAAATAGGCACACAACGAACTATTTAAATTATTAATGAGAGCATCTATAAGAGAAAACCCCAAAAGAAATAATAGACCGTAACCATCTACCAGGAATTTAGGAGCAGGCTGAGTAGAGAAGGGGATAAAAGAGATGAAAGCGAAATAGCCTCCCAACCATGCAAATTCCTAAAGTTTAAAACTACAATTGATGAGCTAAGCAATTAACACACCATAGAATTAATTGAGGCATTATGCCAACGACACTGTGTGTATGAATGAGCGAATAAAAACGAAAAGGATAATCATGCCTCCGATTTTCTTTGAAGAACATGATGTATCCCCTATTACCCACACGTGAAAACTTAGGGAAACAAAACAGCCTAACAGACTCCAAGAAGTCCCTCGATCAACAATCTGGGAGTCTCATCCATTATCCTAAATTCGATACTTGTTTTTAATGACTTCGTGCTACAAGGGAACACTTCAATAGGAAATTTCCATCACCATTTATGACTTACCCAGCAAAGCAGTATCCCTAGCAATAACATTCCCCAAAGCAATAACCCTTCATCCCTTGGCCAGGAAACCATTGCTACCAAACATTATGTGGACCACTTTTTAAATATGACAGTGTTCAGACTCAGACCCCTTAAAACATCCAAGTAACCAATAACATGACCAATCCCACAAAAGTCATGCAAGGCAGGCCAGACCAATGTCTAAATGATTAATGTGTTTTAAATTTCCAATTTCAACTCAACTAATGATTTGCCCAATTATTTGGGCATCTAAACTTCTAAAATTGCTAATACTTTATCAAAATACAAAGCCAAATTAGGTAATTAAGCTAACTATCCATCAATAACACTGCAAAGATGCAAATGAATTATCACACTATTGAACAACTATAACACCAAAATATAAGAATTTAGTAAAATTTAAAAACAACAGAACCTGAGGATTTGCTCGAGAGTGAGTCTCCCTTCATTCCTTTGCATCTCGGTCTGAAGTGACCCATTGCACATATCCATAACCAAACACAAGCTTCTCTCCACCCTGGTCACGCCATGAAAAGCACACACATTCCGACACCACATCGACGCCCTCCTCAAATTCTCCAGCTGACTCTGAACCCATACCAAATCCGTCTCCTCCCCTATCGGCACCTTCTTCACCACCACTCTATGGCGGCACCGCCCCACCCCAGCCCCACCAACCACCAAACCCGTCCACATCTCCACCCCCGTTCTCCTTCCATCCCCAATCTTCTTCAACAACTTGAATTCCTGATGCGATGCTAGCTCAATCCCCGACCCACCACGGGGACCACAACCCGAACTCGAGGCATGTTCCCGGCAGCGCCGCCTAAACTCTTCGGAAAACTCGTTATCCTCCTCATCGTTCTCCTCCGCCTCGGAGTCCGATCCAGAAGAGAAACCATCCGAATGAATCAGCGCAAGTACTGCGTAGTTCTTTTTAAGAGCGTTGACGGAGTTTCCGACGACACTGACGTCTCTGCACCGAGGGCAAGATAGGGTTGTGTCTAAAGAAGCAGAGAACATTCGAGAAAGGCACTCTCTGCAGAAGCCATGACCGCATTGAAGCAACAAAGGACATCGTTCTTCTTCGTTGTACTTCGTCTGACACACCGAACAGCAAGGAATCTTCATTTTCTTCATAGTAATTGAATATATAACTCTCGATCACTGGTACCTATATGGAATTGATTAGCAAATCTTATGGAAGTGGGAGATAAACGGTAGAAAATGGTAGATCCATGGGGAAATCGGTGAAAAAAGAGAGAGAGAAGAGGGATGGGATTTAGAGAGAGAAAGTGAGGGTTTTAGAGAGAGATTGAATGGGAAATGAAAGGGAAAAAGGAAGGAGAGAAGCCTTTTGAGTTGGAGGAGGTTTACGATTTCTACCGCTTTTTTTCTATCGGCTATGCAACGACTTGTGTTTTCCGGGCTTTGCGTCGCCAACCCCTTTCTTCCACCTCAAAGACTTAGGTATGACTATTCTTTACTTTAAAGTTTGAATTTTAAGAAGACCTAAAAAAATAAAAGGATTGAATTTTGAGTACAATTTTTTTTTAATTTCTTTTGGGTTTTTTTTATTTTTTAATTATTAATTGTATTTTTTTCCCCACTTTGTTCTTTTTTCTTAAATTAGATCACATATCTGATAGTATACATATTTCGACCTCCTCTTTGATCTTTTCATTTGGGTCGTAATCACGTTCACTTTTCTTTCACTATTTTTATTCTTGGTATTAAAGGTAACCATGAACAAGCAAAATTATGTCTACTTTTGGAATATACCCGCGGACCAAGTAAATATATTTTTGAGAGATTTCTTTCTCTAAATTCTATTTTACTTCTTTTTAAAGATTGTCTCTAAAGGACACTGCATTTTCTCCCTCTGTGTGTGTGTAAAATATGGATTGCCCTAGTTAGTGTGGTTACTGAAGGAAAGGTTGTAAAGGGCTTAAATCTCTATTAAAAGAGTGGAACAAATTCATTTTGAAGGTCAAAACCGAAGATATGGAAATGGGCCAAACAAAAAAAAATCTCCTTTCATTTCATTTCCTCGATTAACCAAGAGTACATGCAGAAAAATGACAGGTTTGTTTCCAAATGTGTTACCCTCTCTTCTCATGATTGAAGGGCAAATTGTTGTAATTCAATCTGAAAAAACCAACACTCACTCTTCATATAATAAGTATATGTCATTTAAGGCCACAATCTAATAAATGGGAGATCGAATCTCCAGAGTCAGACTAAGGTGAAGATAATATCATCAAGGCTTTTAACTTGTATTCTGAGGAAGATTTTTCGGTAACAGAAACAAATATTGTGAAGTCCTTAAATAGAATCAAAAAAGTATCTTTCAACTCAATTTTGTCATCTAGCTTGGACAATTTCAACTGAAAAATATTGTCGGACGACGAGAAGACTCCCAAAAAGGTTTTGAAACAAATATTGCCCTAGAAGGCATAGACATGGAGCGAATATAATTGTCTTTTACTTTCACTTCTATCACCAATTTTAAGGGGAGAGTAAGAAGATGAACATTTTCCTTCTTCCACACAATCTTCTCATTATCCAATTTTCATCAGATATGTAAATATAATAACAACCAATTAATGTGATGCATAAAATTTGGGAATCTCTTTCCGCCGCACCCTTACCACCATCCCTAGCCCCTCTCCTACCCGTGTGATAAATATTAACACGTTAATTAAAAATAAAATGAGAGTTATATTAAAAGTGAGAGCTTTTAAATTTGGTGGTTTTAGGTGGAATTTAACGTAAGGGCTATAGTCAAAAATAAAGAAAGATTTAATAGAGACAATTATGGTATATGTTTGTGTTAATTAATTGGAGGATATTTTGAATTTATATTTAGTAATTCAAAAATCTTGAATTTTATAAAAGTAAGTGAAAAAGGTTTCTCAAGCGTGCTCCAAGAAAAAATGATTGGTATCGTAATATAGATATGTAAAAGGATATTTGAGATTCCTCTTATAAATTAACTTTCATACATATTTTCGTTTCTTTAGTAAAGTTAATTTTCTTAGAAATTTGTATAATACCTATCTTCATTTCTATAAAAAATTATATAATACATGTAGGGTGTGTTTGTTTTAGGTATTAGACTAGAGGGATTGGATAAAATAATGTATGAGCCACCTTATTCCACTTATATCCATGTTTGAATACTTATTTTGGGTCCAATATTATCACTATAAATAGTTCAAAATCCAGATGAATGGTGCATCAATACCATACAAACTTTTTAAATAAACCCACAATTTTGATGGGTTAAAATACACGGGTGGGGGAGTAGATGTGTAAAATACATTTTTACCCCTAACAAACTTAGATATAAATACCAAACATATATATGGATTGGACTAAGTTAGGGTTATTGGTAATTTTAATAATTGTACCATCATTCAATACTCAATCCAAATAAAGTATTGCATAGAATAAGAGTGAGCCCACATCTTTTAATACTTTGACCAAACAAATGATAAAGGGAATGAATTTTAAATTTATATTGTTTTCTCCGGTTGGATGGGTTTGGGATAGAGGGGCTTGTCCAATCCAATTATTCCTATTGCCTAAACCAAACACACCATGGATTATGTTGGTTTGAATGTTAAGAGTAGGATTGGATTCAATTAGTCAAATTTTCACTTAATCTCATGTCTAGATTAAGTGAAAATTTAATATATAGCATGAGTTAGTACTTTCTAAAGTTTGAGTTAGTATTGTGTGGTTAAGTTCATTCTTGATATAACCTTATAAAATTTCACTAATAAACTTCCCACTTTTCAATTTAAGAAACAATCTGATTTACTCTCATTTAATCTACCTTTATAGGTTAGTACATATTCATCTTATTTTTAAAATTACACTTTTGCTATCTTGAAATCATATGACACATTAACATCTATTGTAGGAGTGCATAGCATTTCATATTTTCAATAATCTAAATAATAAAGTATCTTACAATTCAAATATTAAAAAATAAACAAAATGACTTTTATTATTCGCGATTTCAATCGCTTTAAATTTTAGTTTAAAATAAATCTAACGGTTAATATTAACACCCTAAATTTAATATGAAAAATAGACCTATAAGGGTGTGTTTAGAGTGACTTTTTAAAAATATTTATAGAAATTATTTATTTATCATAAATACTTAAAAAAAAATATAGTGTTTGAAATCGCCCCACCACTACTTGTACTACCATCACTGCCGCCACCACCACCATTGCTCCCACCACCATCGCCCCCACCACTATCACTACCACCACCCCCCATCATTATCATCGTCGCCATCACCACCAATGCCACTGTCACTGTCGCCACCATCATTATCGTCGCTGCTACCACCACCGCCGCTACCACTATTGCCACCGTCGTCGCCACTATTGCCGTCGCCGTCATCCCTCCCACTATCACCACCACTTCTGCCGCCGCCGCCATCGCTATCACCACTACCCCTACCACCGCCACCACCATTGTCGCTGCCTCCACCACCACCACGGCTATTGCCAACTACCACAACTATCACCGTCTCCTACCACCACCACTATGGCCCACCACCTTTCACCCCCACTACAAACTGATGTTTAAATTATTTTATCTTTTCTTTATGTTTGTGATTTGATTTTAGATATGAATACAAATATGTTTATTGTTTATCATTTTTTATTACTTTGTGCCTTCAGGCACGGACAATAACTAGTCTTTGTATATACAATCATTAAAGTCTTCTCCTATGTATATTCTCTTTCCTATTAAGGGTGGCGTCATAATTTTTTTTTAGGGTGGGCACATTAACATGTTTTGCATTTTTTTTCTTCATAAATTTATATTTATTGAAATTATATTTAATATTTAAAAGTTTAGTAAATGTAGAAGATTAAAAACTTGTATACATAATATGATAAAAAAAATATTAAAACTTTTTATTAAGAATGCAACTAATTATTATTATTTACAATTGATCCTGATATGTTTTTATTATTTGGAAGAGTTATAAATTAATTTTATCAATAATATATTTTTATATATATAAAATCATGGTAATAATCTTCTATTTGTAATCATATAGTTTATTACATAACGATACACATTTTTATATAATAAAGAAATAACCCTATAATTTAAAAAAATTATAAAATAACCTCAATATGATCAAAATAACATTTCAACATGTCTGAAACGTGTCTAAAAAATAACAATAATATTAGTTGCATCTATTTTGAGATTTAATTGATCGATACCCAATAATTTGTAACCATCAGATAGATGATAGAGTTTATTAAATATTAAAATCCACTATTATCACAGTACGTTAGATTCTTAAATTATACTTCAATAACGTCGTTCTAAAAGCTAACAACTATTTAGTTAGGGCATGTGCCCACTCTAGCCCAAGGTGGCACCTCCATAGTTTCCTATAGTTAAAACTAGTTTTAGTTCATTCTTATTGGGGCTATCCATTAGTTGGGCTTAGCCTGTGTCGGCCCAAAGCTAGACTTCTATTCTTGTCCAAACCCAATAGATGCCCCGTCAACCAAATCGATGTGGCCCATGGTGGCCTATGGCACTGGCCCTAGCCTGCTAAGCCCACCCGCCAATCAACCCAATTCTCCAATTCTTTTAGGAGGGATTTGGAGGCCCTAGGCCTAATAGGATTCCAAAAAAAAAAAAAAAACCCACTCGACGGTTTTTCTTTTGGACTAGGTTACTGTTGAAAATTCAAATCAATAAACATAATTAACTCCCTTTATAATTGCAAAAAATAATGACAATATTATCATCTAATTTAAACACCTATTCTAAAAAGTTACGTCATCGTAATGTATATTTTTCTCCATAAATACAAATCGTAAGACAAGTACGCTAAAAAAATAGATACGTAATTAATATATATATACAAATCGTAAGACAAGTACACTAAAAAAAATAGGTACACAATTAATATATATATACACTTTCGAGCCAAAAAATAATAGGTACATAATAAAAAATAACATGTACATAATAATCATTAGATATGTACACTAAAAGTTTAAAATACAGATTGTTAATGTACTTTTTTTTTTCCATAAACATAAATCGTCAGACATGTACACTAAAGTACAGATCATCAGACATGTACGCTAGAACACAGATCGTTAATGTACATTTTTCTTCGTAAACATAAATCGTCAGACAGGTACACTAAAACACAAATCGTCAGACGCCATAAAAATGTCCAAATTACTTGGTTCATGAGTTTGAATTTCAAAATTGATAGACAACCCTACAAAAATCTCAATAACAAACGAAAAAAAGAAACTAACTATATTTTAAGTTGAAATAGGTAATAAAAACCAATAACCAATCCCATAACATTCTTGTCAACACAGGGACTGCATGCAAGCTTTTTTAAAAATCGAAAAACCTTTTTTTATACTAAAAATTTGATAGGACTAAAATTAATTTATATACTAAATGAGGGACCTAGCTTAATTAACTATTCTTTTAGCTATAAGTTATATATATAAGTGTTAAAGTCATAAATTTCAATAATGAATCGCAAACTTTAGGGTATACTTGTATTTATTTTAATTAAGTGGTAATTTGGGGTCAATCTTTTTTAAGAAACTTATAATGACTTAAATCCATTTTTTAAACATATTTTATGCTAAGTCATATTATTATCTGTTGCTGGTTTTCCAAAGCTGAGAAACCAGTTACCAAAATTCCCTTATTCTTCGCTCGCTGCCAAAGCCAGTAGAGCTTCATCGGCCTATGGTGATCCATTTTTCTTCTGTTTATGGTCATTTTGGTTTCTTATCACCTCGGGACTCCATGCCTCCAGGATGTCGTGGACGGTGATAGTGTAGTAAGTGAGGGAGTTAAATGTTACTATTTTTTTTTTAAATAGTATTATTTTTGAGTTTGAATGTTATTATTTTTTATTTGAATGTTACTATTTTTGTTTGAATGTATCATCCGCTGTCCGTGTTGCTAAAAATGCTTAATGTGTTATTAGTTTAACCCCTAATTTTGTTCAATGTTTCATATTATTTTTTTTGGTGAGCATATTATTGTTTTTTTCTCTTATGCATCATCAGCTACCTATGTTGCTTTTAAAATGCCAAGTGTGTTACTGGATGGACTCCCAATTTTGTTCAATGTTCCATGTTACTATTTTTTTTGTTGAACATGTAACTATTTTCTCGTCTATGCATCATCAGCTGCTCATGTTGAATAAAAATGCTCAGTATGTTACTGGTTTAACTGCCAATTTTGTTTAATTTCTATGTTACTATTTTTTTTTTTGTGAGTATACTACTGTTTTCTCATATATGTATTATTAATTGCCTATTTTGCAAATCATTTTTTTTTGGTTAATATTCAATATTAATATTTTTATTTTGAATGTTACTATTTTTTTTTGAAATGTTAATATTGAACGTTGTTAATTTTGTTTTATTTTTTCAAAACGTTAATATTCAATATTACTATTTTTTGTTTGAATGTTATTATTTTTTGTTTTGAATGTTATTATATATATAAACTAGTTATTATCCGTGCCTTAAGGTACGAAATAATAAAAAATGTTCACTGATAAATATTTATATTCATACCTAAAATCAAATTACAAATATAGAGGAAAGAGACATGAATTTTAACTACCGACTATAATGGGAGTGAGTGGTGGTAGGCGGTAATGGTGGTGGTGGGAAATGATGATGATTGTAGTGGGTGGCGACGACCGTGATAATGGTGGCGGTCGTGGGTGGCAACAGTGTTGGTGATGGTGATGGTGATGGTGATGGTGATGGTGCTGGTGGATTTTAGGAGACGATTGTGGTAGTGACAGCTATGAGTGATTACGGCGGTGGTGGTGGGTGGTGACGAGCGATGACGGGTGCTTTTTTTGGGTGATAATGTGATGGCTAGTGGTGAATGACGGTGGTGGTGGGTGGTGGTAGTGGTGGGCGATGACGGGTGGTGATGGTAGGTGTGGTAGGAGTAGGTGACAGTGGGCAACAATGGTGGTGGTGGGTGCTGACGATGAGTGACGATGATAGTAAAATGATGATGATAGTAGTAATAAATATAAAAATGAGATAACGATAGTGATGGATAGTGGCGGTACAATGGTGGTAGTGGTAGTGATAGTGGGGATGATGGTGGTGGTAGCAGAGATGATGGTGGAATAGTGGCAGTGATGGTAAGGTGGCGGCAGCGATATAGGTGGTGGTAATGGGAATGGTGGTGGTGGGGCGGGGGGGTGGTAGGGTGGCGACAACGATGATGATGGTGAGGAGGTGGTGATGGTGGTAGTTGTTGTGGTAAAGGTGGTAGTGGTGGTGGGGTCGTGAAGTGGTGGTTACGTTAATGGTTGTTGTTGTTGTGGCAAATGTGGTGGTGGTGGCAGAAGTAGTAATGGTGTGTGTGGTGGTGATGGTGGCGACAATGATGGTGGTGGCGGTGGTGACGATAGTGGCAGTGGGGGGTAGTTGTGGTGATGAGGTGGCGATGGCGATTGGGATAGTGGTGGGAGTGAGGCGGTTCTAAACACTATTTTTTTTAATATATTTACAATAAGTTATAAGTTTTGTAAGCACTTTTAAAAAGTCACCTCAAATACTCCTTAAAAACTTATTTTTTCTATTAAATTTGGGGTGTTAATATTAGTCGTTGAATTAACTTTAAAGTAAAATTTAAAGATATTTCAAACGTAAAAATTAAAAATTATTTTATTATAAAATACTCCACAAAAATTAATTATTTTATTAATATAATAAAATTTAGAAATACGATACCAAATTTATTTTTTGAATGTCGTTGTCAAGTCCTAGTATGAAATATCATCGAATGGGGTGGTAGAGTGGAGTAATGGCCAAATTTATTTAGGGTTTGATGATTAATTGTTATGTTAATTTAATTAAATTCGTTTTTAAGATGTATAATAAGCATGATTATGAATCTCGTGATTTTACCGATAAAAATTTACTGTACTGATATCTAAACTTTTTTTTTTTTTGGCCGCACTCTTTTTTCAGTAAGGAAAAAAAAAAAAAAGTACTAGTATGGTATGGCAGCAAATCATTACTGACCTGTGAAATTGAAAATCATTACTAACTCGGTTGTTCAAAGCGGCGGATATGGGAGGCATACTTTACTTGTTTTATGACATCACAGACACCGATGTTTTCTTTCCCTACGTAACCTTTGATTACGTTTTGCACTAGTACGATGATGTTGGATAAATATGCAGATAATACTTTACTTTAAAATGTTGATTTTATTTATTGATTTAATTAATTATTAATTATTATTATAAATATTTATTATAACTTATTATCTATTTAATAATTATAATTAATCAAATGAAAAAATTAAGTCTAAATAATATTTCTCACTGATCTAACTCTACATAACTTCCAAGAAATACAAATGTAATTATAAATTAATCAAAATTTAATAATACAATGTAATATAGACATGACATGATCCAATAATTTGGACTATCGATCACCATAGAACTTATTTTATTTTTATATACATGACAGCCGCCATTCATTTGTCCAAAAAACAGCCGACACCGCTCGAGAAAAGCCATCCACAAGAAAAATATCCTACCATTCAAAGCAAGAACTAAACTAAAATCACAACCACTCAAGCTGATGATATTCGTTTAGGGTCGTTTTTAATTTCTACGATGGTGAATTATTCTTATAAATTGATAATTATGACTCCAATGAGGTATACTCTCGCATGATCACGCCCAGAGAGGTTAGAACCGATTGATCGGCCTTAATTCTCTTTTCTTGACCCAAAAAAAAAAAAAAAAAACTAAAATCACATATTAGCGTGGAACATATAGTCTGAATAATATGTCTCTGAATAAAATATATAGTAATTAGTCTCAGTATAGCTAATACACATGAACTTCATTCTAGTAGTATACAAAAATTTACATGGCACCATAGCTTCCAAGAACATCCAACTGAGGAGACTCAAAAAATGAACTCATGGGAAACATCCCTGAGAACTTCTCATCCATTTGATGAGGCCTAAACACATCATCAAAAGGCCCGAGAAACGAGTCCGAGCTCGTGGGTGACTCTCGATGAGAATCAAGTGAACCACGAATCGACGATAGATGATCAATCATTGAGTTTGAGGCTGTTTGATCAGAAACAGCTTCATGACTATGAGACTCCATGATCCGCGACACATCGGAGTTTCTACCGGTGAGTTCTTGTACAGTAGCCCGAAACTTTGATGCACAAGTCTTGACCTTCATGGGGCTTGATATGTAGACAACTTTCACTGATTCTCTCTTTCTTTTATCCTTGTTCTTGCTCTTCATTTGATGGGTAGTTGGTGGTATTTCCATTTTCTGCACAAACGAAGTAAAAAACAACAAAAGGGTTTTGCAGACCAGAGAGTTTTGAAGTAGTAGAACGATAAATCAACATGCAAATGGCTTAAATAAGGGTACGGAAGTGAAGAATTCTAAGCAAGAGGTTGTTTCTTGGAAAAAGAGATAAGATTGAAAACATGGAAGAAACTGTGGTTTTGATTGGAAATAGGAAGCTTAAAGGAAACTAGAGAGGGAGAGAGACAGAGAGAAGGTTCTATGAAGATACTTATATGACCCGCAAACTCATGGTTTCTTCGTGCGATTGTTCCTGATAATTGGCTTTATATACACGTGTCCAATTGATATCTTGTTATTGATTAATGGAACGGTGTGTAAACTGACCGGTACAATCCTGATAGTCGAATAAAAAAAATTTAATGTCTTATTTAAGTTGTGCCATATAATTTTAATATAGTGTATTTACTATGTTATCTAGTTGGGTTCGTCTCAATTCAAGTTAATATCACGAATACGTGATATCTAATCGAGTTTATGTCATGTATAATCAAAAATATTGGTAAAATTTAAGATAAAATTATGGTACCAAAACATGAGTTCTTCCTACCATATCGAAAAATGCTCGTTGGTCATAAATCTTGATTTGAATTATTTGTAGTTGTTGATTATAAAAAATTTTGGCATATTATTTGTTGAATTGGATGAAAGAAAATATAGTACTAAACAATTATTTTTTCGATACTAAAGTCTAAGGATGGTGGGGTTAAATACAATGTTAGTTGGAGAAGTTAAACCCCACGTGCGCAGTCTTCAAGGACTCTAGAAGGACTGTGGAAAAAGAGTTCGCTACACTGAACCAGAAGGCTCATGCGTGGGTGTGAGTGGTTGGTTTTAGGGTAAGACTTTTTTTTGGGTATAGGAGGGTTTGCTGTAAAGTTAATACCACTCAAGTTTTTTATGTTTACCCTCCGGGGCAACACACGCACGTTACTTTTACCATCGCCATCCTATTATTATTGGACGATTGTTCTTTAATATCCTAAAATAATTTGTTAAACAATGATTAAATCTTAAATACTTAAAAAAGATGATAAAAATTTTAAATTTGAATTAGTTTAAAAAAAAATGGTGAGTCATTACATGGAACGTATAAGATGATTTAATTTGAGAAAAACTAACGTATTTTTGTTTAATATTTGAAATTATGAGATTTTAGAAGTTGTGGAGGGGAGGCTTCTCAATCATTCCCTCTTCTAAATTGATTGTTATAATGTATAACTAGCGGCAATCCTGTGCGATTCACAAAATTTATATTCTCATCCCGTTTTATCATTTTTATCCATATCCCGTTCAATTTTATTTTTTATTGTCTAAAAAATCCATTCAATTTGCAATCAAACCTAAGCGGAAAGGAAAATAATAGTGAGAGATAAATAAATATTTTAGTAGTGGGGATTGGGAGAGCTCCCATATGATTGAGAGGAAACTACACCATGTATGGCAAACTAGCTCTTGAGTAAATATTAGGCGTAATGGTAATTCCATGTTATTATTGATACTGAATTTTATTTTGGTAGTTATTAAATGACATAACGGGATGATTACTACAATATGTGAAATTTACATGTTTATTTGCTATACACTTATTAAGTAGTGTCACCATGTGACAATGATAACGTTAAATTACTATTATAACTAATATTTTTTCCTCTTAGTGGGATGATATGTGCAAATACTCATGTTAGTTATCAAGTTTTGTGAGGAGAATCGAGGGATAAGGTTACAAATACTAGTTAGTGGGGTGGGTGTTTTGAAGTGCCCAATTGGTTTTGAAATGTGCAGATGGTGAATGATGATTAGATGTCTATTAATTAATTAAATCAAACTCATGCATTCTCCAAGAAAAATGATTGTTATATATATATATTTGAAAAAATAGTGGGTAGTTAGTAAGGAGTTAAGCATTGATTACAAAAGACACAAGATAAAATGTGAGTGGAGGGAGACTTAGTATGGTAATTAAAAAATTAAAATTCTAAGAAATTAGAAAATGTGGAGGAAAGACTTCTCAAATATTCTTCTTTCGATTTTTTTTTAAATATGTATACTAGCAGTTCGCACTCGTGCGATGCACAGGATGTACCCGCCATCTCTTTTTTATTTCTTTCTTTTATTTCTACAATTTAGAGTTAAATAAATAATTATCTAAAATGATAGGATGATAATTGTAATTTTGTTCGAATAGATTCAAATTAAAGGTGGTTAGTTAGTGGAGAGTAGATGTCTAGTTAAAAAGAATACATTTTGATTTGTGATCGGAGGATTTTTTAATTTAATAATTCAAAAATCTAAGAAATTAGAAAAGTAGAAGGGAAGGCTTCTCAAAGTCTCTTCTTAAAAAATGTAGTAGTTTACACCCTATGCGATGCACAAAATTTATAATCCCGTCTTACCATCACGTTATCACCAAACCCTCCCTAATGAATCCTAGAATTACTGGATGATTACCTCTTAATGTGTTAGAATATTATTTTGTAAATTTAAAATAATTAAAAAATGATTAAAATTTTAATTTAAAATAGTTTTAAAAAATAGTGGGAGTGCTTACGAAGCACACATGAAATAATTTATAAGCTAATTAAATATTTTAAAATTCTTGTAAGTAAGCATTTAAGGCTCAAGGCCTCTTTTCTCTAATTTGATTGTTTTATATAAATAGACTAGTTATTGCTTGTGCCTGAAGTCACAGAATAATAAAAAATGGTAAATAATAAACATATTTGTATTCATATTCAAAATTAAATCACAAACATAGAAGAGAGATAAATAAATTTAAGCATCGATTGTAGTGAGGGTAAAAGATGGTGGGTGGCAGTGGTGGCGACGGGGGTGGTGGTGGTGGTTGTGGCAATGATGACGACGACGACGATGTTGACGATGACGGTGGTGACGAAGGTGGCAGAGGCAATAATGGTGGTGGCGGCAGCGACGACGACAATGGTGGTGGTGATGACAACAGCGACGACGGTGATGATGGTGGTGGGATGACAGCGATGACGATGGTGGGGGTCGTGGTGGCAACGACGACAACGGTGGTGGCGGCAGTGACGATAGTGGTGGTGGTAGAGGTAGTGGGAGTGGGGATGGTAGAGGTAGTGATGAGACGATTTCAAACATAATTTTTTTTTTTTTTATGTATTTATGAGAAATAATTCTTAAAAATACTTTTAAAAAGTCACTCTAAACACACTCTTAGGGGTCTATTTTTTCTATTAAATTTAGCTTATTAATATTAGTCATTATATTAATTTTAAAGTAAAATTTAAAGTAGTCTGAACTGTAAAAAGTAAAAGTCATTTTGTTTATCTTTTGATGTTTAAATTATAAACTATTTTATTATATAGATAAATAGATAGATAAACTCCTGGTCGTCTCCGTCCTAAAATTATTAGAAAATTACTTGCTAACATGCCAAATTGATATTTTGCAAAAATGTAAAGAAGTTGATAAAAATGATGAGAAATTCAAGCGTGATGAAGTTATTAAAATGTTGGAACGGATTATGTATGCCTCATGGTGGAATTCAATTGGAGCAGACCAATTAAATAATTGAAAATTAAGAGAAAACAGAATTTGGGGAGGAAAAATTTCTCAAGCACCCTCTCCCGTGAATTAATTCTTTTAGTACACAATATAGACCAGTGTCCTAACTCCATGTGATGCACGAGATTTATATTTTATTAATTAATTTTATCCATTCTTTTTTTCTTTCACTTTATCACTTAAAAAGTTAGGTAAACAAATAATAATAAATTATTAAATAGGAAAAATAGTTTATTTGAACAATTTTGAAAAAATAGTGGTTAGTTAGTAGGAAGTTGAGGAGTAATTACAAAAACACAGATAAAATGTGATTATAGAAAGTCCTAATTTGGAAATTAAAAAAATCAAACTTGACATCTATAGGAATGTGAAAAAATGTTTGTAAGTACACAAATTCATCAATTAACTATAGAAATGATAATGAACCGAGTTGTATTGAATTCACAAAAATTTTGATCATGTCTTTATATTCTATAAATCTATATAATTATATATAATTGAATTCTTATAGTTTCGATTTTATATTGTTTATAGTCGTGTTTATGTCTTATATAACTGACCTCGTGTTAATTTTATAAGCAAAATGAGTCTAGCAATTCAACTCAATTATCAACTAAATTTACTTAAAATTGAATTTATCTTGAATGATTTTGTGTATAGTTAACGAATGATACTAAGAATTAGGACAAACTATACATCAACCTCCTCAAATATGCCCCCGATCGTACTCAATCGTTTAAATTATTGGATTTCTCACATTTCTCGGTCAATTACATGAATTGGTTTCACATTATCATTAAAAAAAAAACATTCTTTATATTTCAAACAAAAAATATCCAACCTTCGGAACAAATAAATTTCCATCAAATTTGTAATGAACGTTAGTCATTGTGATAATATGAAACTAATGACCACAGGTAAATGTTCAATGTGAAAAATATGATAACCGAAGCACTAATGTGAAATGCAATAAAAATAAAAAATAAAATTTTAAATTTTAAAAAATAAAAAAATACTTTTTCTATCTTACCAAGCACAAAAAAAAAATTGTTATTTTTTTTTTTCATCTATCATACCAAACACAAAAGAAAAAAAGTGTATCATTTCTACTTTATTTCCATCCTATTTTTCATCCCTTCGACTTTTTATCATTTCTACCAAACAGAACATAAAAATCAAGTTACACATTTTAAAGATGAAAATTATAACTTATTAGGAGAATTCATATTCGATAATAATATCTCAAGATCGATCATAGATTTATCTCAATTAATTATAATTTCATCTTTAAAAAATACAATTTAAATCTTACAAAAAACAATAACTTTCAATATTATATCAAATTTTTTCCAATGCCGTAGAATTACCCACGCTTTAGAATTATTCAAATTTTTTTTTTAAATTCAACAGTCAAAAAAATCAGAACCGTACAATTATCCATTATCGGAGTCGTTTGCTCTGTTTCGTAGCGGCACGGCTTCTTATGCTTGGAAATTTTGGGGAACTCCCTTCCGCAGCCATACAATTTCTTGGACATTTTGGGCTCCATTTGTGGCCACATGGCCATTTGTCGTACGACAACGGGAAAACCATTCGCATGTAGTAATGAACACACCACACGACTTTGACAGTTTAAAGCTTTTCCAAAAGCAATCCTATCCTATCCTCTTCCTTCTTTTCTATCCACGTGTTCATTTCTTTTATTTTGTTCCTAGAATTCACATCTTACTTTCCAAAAAAAATCTGGCATAGGTACTACCAATGTTATGAACCCACCTGGTAATTGCCCTTCAGAATTGATTTGTAAAGGAAATGTGCCTTAGGATTCCTATAAACATATCTTCTCTAATATTGAATTGATATGAATTCGGAACATTTCAGCACGCTGTTATAATCGAACGTTCATAACGACTCATTTTATTAACACTAATTCAGCGATAGACATTTCTGTCTGATAATTCTATTCACTTATCAATAATTAGTCAGATAAGTTTATATCGACACATAATACTCAATTATCTTAATCTAACTTATAGGTTTTCTCTTTTGTGCCTTGATCACCAAGAGTCGCAGTTTATACTGGATTCGATCTCAAACTCGATGCGGTGGTTAGTTCTAATATCAATTACGATGAACTTTTGAGTAGAACTTGTTTCCAAAAAATCAACTTGCAAAAGAAAATTATTCAAAATTTCATATATACACATCTAATTTTCCATTTAACCGGCATAAAATTGTAACGTTAAGACACATTTTCTACAGGAAAGATGTCTAGTTTTCGAAATTATATTCTTCATGGGTAGAGTTAAAAGAGGTCGTGTCACTTGTTTTTGAACCGCCAGAAAGGGGAAAAAAAACACTCATATAAAATTTCCACTTGAAAGATATAGGATTATCAATGGGTCACTCGCAGCCTTACCCAAAAAGTTCCTCATGCTTGTCCAAAATGTGGTAATCGAGATGAGTTAATTAAATTCGGATTGAATTTGACTCGTATTTTAAATGAACTATGTTTAAATAATTTTTTAAACTCATTTTTTTTGAACAAATCAAAAAGGTTCGATTCGAATTTGTAAAACTCAATTATTTTATATGTAGTAAAATAGTTGAGTTTGGACTTGATTCATTTTCTAAATAAGTCGAGTTGAAATAATTGTTTAGGCTCGTTCAGGAAAAATGAACTCGACAAATAGTGGAGCCTATCTAATATTGAAAGTTATTGCTAATCCAACTACTACAGCAAATTAGACTAGTAATTATATCAAAGTAACATTATTTTTTTTGGAGGTTTTGAATTTATAAAATTGGACAATGGCACTAGATAATAAAAAGTGGGAGAGAGAAGATATAGTAGTCATGCATGCATGTACATGTAGGAATTGTTGTGTTTTCAACTGAAATTGATGAAATAAAAGTTCCTAAACAAAATAAAAATTGGAGTCTAATGTTTTCCAAAGATTAAGATATAATAAGACAAATGATGAGTCGTGTGTGGGAAGAACATAGGTACAGATGTATCAAACCTACTCTCGCCGACATATATATATATATATATATATATATATATATATACTAGTCATAACACATACTTGAAAGCACAATAAAATATAAAATTCGAGCGTCTTAAAAATTGACCCTACTATATTAAATTTTTTCAAAATATATTAACTACAAATTAATCAAATATTAAATTATTAAATATATAATATAAATGAATGATGTGATATTTTTAGGGAGAAAATATATAAATGATTAAACATGTGATAGAAATGAGTGATGTGATTTGACGTTTGAATTTGACAAAAGGCTAATGAGTGAAGTAAATAATTGGTGATGATTTTGAGGGGAAAAATATAATTGAGATAAAATTCAAATACACTTCATTTTTATTATATATATATATAGAACAATGTTATTGAGATATAATTTAAGAATTTAATGATTGCGGACATTGAATTGCTAGTGAGTCTTAATATTAAATGCATTTTACTATCAATCCAATGGTTACAATGTATTAAGTCTCCAAATTATGTCCACCACTACTAAATGGGGGTGTTCATCAAAAGAAGTTACTCGTGCTCAATTCAAATAAGATTCGACTCAAGTTTGACTCATATTTTAAACGATATACATTTGAACAATTTTTTACACTTGTTTAAAAAAGCGAGCGGAATTTGAACAATTTTTTAAGTTCGTTTAGAAAAACGAGTCTAAATAACTCTACTCAACTCAAACTACTCGTTTATATGTAAAATAGTCAAACTATTTAGACTCGAATCAAATTCGGCCCAGGCTCGTGCTCGGCTCGAATTTTAAACAAATTGAATTTGAATAATTTTTTAGGTTCGTTTAAAGAAGTAAGTTCGTCAGACAATGACTCAAGTTCAAACTCGTAAAATTCGTCTCTATTAATACCCCTATTGCCTAGATCTACCATGAAGCCTTGCCACCCTCCTCCTGTGACGCGAGACAGAAAGAGACGTGCAAAGAAAGAGGGAATGAGACGCAATTTAGGCGTGAATATCTATCAAGATAATTTAATATTAAAAAAAAATTAAATGTTGATTTACATCAAGCAGGTCACCAACATGTTGAATGCACTCGTTCTTAACTTCTTAAAAGGGTCTATACTTGTATGGTTGGACATAGAAGTTGCAACTGGATGAGCTAAGTTGATTGTGAGCCGGTTCAAATGGGTTGGGTTCAGTATAGGTTAAATTGGTTTTCAATTCCACTAATAATTGAGTTATAATGAGTTACATTAAACCGGTTGTGTTAAATCCATTAACCCGTAAAATAATTAAAATTCTTGATATGAACACATACTAATATATTAAAAAAATATATACTAATATATCAAAATATACACACTAATACACTAAAACGCACATAAAGAGGAGGGCCTTGAGATACGCTCACTTCTGCATTTTTGTTTAGATTCTCGAGATTTTCAATCACTCCTTTTAGTGGAGAGGAATAGTGCAAGAATGACGGTTCTCATACAAGAGAAACGTTTCTCTTTAAATCAAAATAAGATAGACTAAAATGCTTCTCTTGATAGAGCTTTTACATTTGCGCATAAAATCTTTTTTTTTTCTTTCTATTCTGTTCTTACCATATCATGGACAATTAGATCAAAATTTGTATGAATGTTCGAGAGTGGTTTCAAATATTCTTCGCATAATACACCAAAAATACATACACAGACATACTAACACACAAAAAATACAAACACATTTAATAAAATATCAAAATACACAGATATAATATTCATCAAAATATACACACAGAGGGTCTGGATTAGAGTCGGGGTCAAGACAGGGTCCAGGGTCGGGTCATGAGTCTAGTGTATTAATTTGTGTGTGTTTTTAGTGTATTAATTTGTGTATATTTTTCAATATATCAGTATGTGCATTTGATTTGATTATTTAATAAAAAAAAAAATCAACTCAATGACCACCTATTTATAATTCATTTTAACCAGTTTAATTAAAATGAGTTATATCATCCAATTCATTTAGAACTTGTATTAATTAATGTAGATACTCAACTTATTTACTTATAAATAAATTAATAAATAATGAGTTAAGATTACCACCTCTAATTATACCTATTAGCATAAAAGATTTGAAATTATGCTGATTTCTAATTTTCCCAAAGTTTTAGTTCAACCCGGCCCTGGACAGCCCTATGAAGTAACATAACTTGATCCAACGAAAACAACCCGAACTGCCCAATTGCCCAACATTTTTCTCTTTCTAGGACATAAACCCCACTTACAGACCTTAAACCCTTTCTAGTTCTCCCTCAATCCCAACTCTCTCTCTCTCTGCTGAATGGCAATTGGAGCCATTGCTAGATCAAAAACACCTTTATTTGCTTCAACATTGATCCTAAAAGACCTCTGTAGAGTACCCATCATCAAGGAAGAGTTCTATTCATCCCCACTTCTGCACTTCTCACAGAAAAATCGAATTCCAGTTTTTCATTCCTTTGATTTCTTCAGGAGTGGTTTGTGTCCTCGTTACTACCATGACGGAAGACCCAGAGGACCCCTTTGGAGGGGCAAGAAACTGATAGGCAAAGAAGCTCTGTTTGTGATTTTGGGCTTGAAAAGATTCAAAGACGATGAAGAGAAAGTCGAAAATTTCATCAAAAACCACGTCTTGAGGCTCTTGAAGATGGACATGATCGCTGTACTTACAGAGCTTGAACGCCAAGAAGAGGTCACTTTAGCTCTCAAGGTTTTCCTCTTCCAAATTTTCTCCTTTACCCTCCCACACACACACGCACGCACATATATGTATCTATGCAATATTGGGTGTATGTAGTTGTCTATAATAGCCATACATAATAGTTTGTTCTTTGGGAAAGAGTCGATTAGATGGCAAACCATGATTATATATCTGAATTATATCTATCGTTTAAATTACCTTACTGTTGTTGAGTGGTTATTATGTAATTTGAGTATTGGCAATAGTTTTGGTTATCTTAATATCTCAATACACACAAGGCATGATGGGACTTAGAAGTCCAAACCCGCACATAACACACTCACTAGAAGGTTACATGAGGTATTTGTATATAGATAGATCAAGGAATGTCTTGCAATTGTGGGTATTTAATAAATATGGGTGATGGAGAGAGCTTGGTATTAAACATTGTGTTTTGGGAAGTTTTTGAATTTAATTGAAAAGCGTGATGGACCGGGCTGTACAGATATTTTCAGTTGTTTTCCGGGTACAATAGAGCCATGCCTATTCCTTTGTAGACTGAATTAATGTGGTTATATTGGGTATGGATGTCTACGACTATTATTCGTGTTTTAGTCACTTCTTATCGCTAAATAGCACGCCTCAATGTGAATATTTACATCATCCAGAAAAAGCATGCGATGAGCAAATGTAATTTTACAATTTCATGCTGCTTATCTTTCCATTGTGATTCAAGTACTGGACCTACTGTTGTTGATTGCTTCTGGATAATGGACATAAATTCTTCTTAGAAGTGCATGTGCTTCTTGCGCATACTGGCTAAACCCTAAAACTAGTTTGCATAAATGAGAAAGAAAATATCTTTGCTATGAAACATTAAGTTGTGTTGAGAAAGCTCAAGTTGGAGAATGACGAGAAATGTTGCATCATCCATCCTGTTTTGAAATGAAGGTTCCTAACTCGGAGCCTGAGATATTTTTAACATCCAAAGACCGGCGGTGGGGAATTTTCAACAGCAGAAGCTATCAAAACCTATAAAACAGTCTGCACATCTGCACTTTATAGGTAGATATAAATAAGACGGGGGCTGCAGTGTTTGCGCCTACTATTTTGCTTCTTTGTCTTAGGTTACTGCTTGATTTATTAAGTTTAGGTTATTAATTAGCCGTGGATATTAGTACTTCAGTTGAATCATCGGAAGCATGAGGGAAAGAAAAGAGGGTTATCATTCATTTCCAGGCAGCTTTATCTTATGGGTGATATCCTATATGTAAATTAATATGTATGGTCATTTTGAAGTTTGGATTTCTCAAGTCTTAACTCTTTTGTTCTACCTACTTTGTTCCTATAAAATCTTTACTGTTCTGTTTGATTCTCGGGTTGTTTGATTACATGTTCATTTGTTAAAATCTTGTACAACTTTCTTGAAGGGCCTTAAACTTACAACTATCTCTTTTAATTGTCAGATATTTAAAGTAATACAAAAGCAGGATTGGTATAAGCCGGATGTTTATTTATTTAAGGATTTGATTGTTGCATTGGCTAAATGCAAAAAGATGGATTATGCGATGCAAATGTGGGAAAATATGAGAAAGGAAGGTTTGTTCCCTGATTATCAGACATACGCCGAAGTTATACGGGGCTTCTTAAGGTATGGGTCTCCTGCAGATGCCATGAACATATACGAGGACATGAAGAACTCTCCAGAGCCACCAGAGGAGTTGCCCTTCAGGATTTTGTTGAAGGGACTTCTACCACATCCCCTCTTGAGGAACAGAGTCAAACAAGATTTTGAGGAGATCTTTCCTGATCAGCATATTTATGATCCTCCTGAAGAGATATTTGGATTACGCTAAGGTTTGCACTTCAAACCTCTGGTGCAATTTGCCCCTTGTTTTTTAGATACTTTAATTCAGGCATTTAACATGAGATACATGAAGATATTTGTTGGTATGCTTACTGATGGTGGTGGTTGGATTTCTTTGGAAGTGATGTCTTATTTCTCTAGATTGGTGAAAATCCCCTTTATAGACTTCGACTACCTGTATGATCAACACCTAGTAACTGTGTATCAGGTAGACTGCCACCCAACCGTAACTAATTTCACATAAAGCTGATAATGGAGCAACTGTTCAAACTTAGAAAAGATTATTGTTGTTTCTTGTTGTTTCTTTAGTCGTGATGTTACAACTAAGGGAATGTTTAACAGATGAAGCACAGGCATACATGTAATTTTGCTGATTAAATAGTTGTTGTCTTCAATGTTGTTTGGTTTTCCCAATGCATTCTAAAGTTCCCTAGTTTAAACTCTAACTTTATGCATCTAACTTCAGTTCTGCTGCTCACCACTTGTAGGACGTGCTACATTTTTTAAGTTTGTTTGGTTCCTGGCCCTTGATTCATAAACAAGTGATTAGCTGAATTGATTGAGTTGTAAACAAAATGAATAGTATAACAACACATGACTTGGAAGCATTCCTTTTTACACTGTTTTCAGATATCTGACGAGTTGTTGATTAGCTCAATTTGTTGCTTTGCTGCTGGGTACCCAATTTTGGATTAATTTATCTGCCCGTGTTTTGCTAACAAATGATCCAGAAAAAGGACCAAAACAGGTTAGGGTTGCATATTATAGTCACCACCAAAAATATATGCATCATGTTTGGAGTATACTAATCTTTGCGATGATCATATCAAAGTGAACTGTGGTAATGACCAGTTTCACATCCGATCATCACTTATCTGAGTTGATGTTAACTTGGTTGGACATCAGCTAATGCCAAGGAGACATTGCTCCACGTTTTGTCTCATTGGCTGACTCAAACCTCATTTCTCTCTGTCCATGCCTTCTTAACTATCATTGCTTTCTGACAGTGATTGGAGGTTCTATTTCCACATTATTGTCCAAACATGGGCCATCCAAGGACATCAGCCATTCATTTCATGGAAGAATCTTCAATCACTTAGAAAGTGACAAAGGAGGACTATAATTTGTAAGACTTGACTATGGCACCGAATAAAAAAATTAGTACTGTAATTTCAAAATTTTATATTTTTTTGGGTATTTTTATAATTTTTGTAGGTGTTTTTTACCATTTTTCTTTGGTTAAAAAAAAATTAGCACTTTTGTAGGCTATTATAATCACCACCAAAAATTTCTTTTATTCATTTGATGTTATATGTTTTTCTTTTTTCTTCATGTCAAAAATGATTTCATGCAATTGTTATTTTCGATGAACTATATATTGTATTTGCATTGTCCTGTGGGAGGTTTTGAACCTTTTCATTCTCCAAACAGTTTCTACAGGTATTTTTTCTTTTGATGTGAGCAGTCAATAAGAACTAAAAGAAGCCCATGGAGTTTTGGATCTTCATTTTATCACCAAGCATTGATCATGTTAGTTTGTGCGGAGAAGATTCTTCATAATGTTGGTTTTGCAGGAACTGCAATGTAATACTATAAGTTGCTTCAAGTCGTACATGGAACAGTTTTCTAAGAAAAATATTTGCCCTCGCCAATTGTTCGTATTGGTATGCTTTGGGAACCTTGCAAATCTGTTTTCATGATACAACGAATCCTTCTAACCCGTCAGCATATTGCACTTATGAAGATAGACCTGAGTACATTTAGGAAGTCAATTAGCCAGCTTCTGGTATTTTGAATCTGCGTAAAACAAAGTGCTTTACAAAGAAAAAATGTATGGATGTATTTATGTGTATTGAGACGATGTTTTTTCGGAGAAGCAGATTTGAAGTATGATTTTTTTTCGTTCATTCAATGTACTTGTTTGTTTTTGAGGCTGAATATCAAGTGCTATTTTTGGATTTCTTAGTGAAACTTGGCCAAAACGTCCAGCATATTTGAATTGTTGTCTACTGGATAAAGGGTGCTACATTTAAATTCAATTTTGAGTTATAGCCATTCAGATTGTGCATGCCGTTGGAAATTCTGGTGCAAATTGCACATGATCTGATGCACCTTTGACCTAGTTCGGGCGGTCATCAACGGGGCTCCCAAAATTTGTTCCATTCCTGTTGGAACATCGTTCGAACAGGGTTTGAGCAGTACTTGCAGAAGTTGCAGAAAATTTCTTAGTGAGCTTGATATTCACATTGGAGCTGGCAGCTTTAAGTTGAAACAGCTTTCGAATGCTTCCCCCCCCCCCCCCCCCAAAAAAAAAAAAAAAGTTATTTCACTCTCTTTTCTTATCACTTTTCTGTGTGACAAGTCCTTTTTCCTCCCAAAATGCTTTTAGTTGGAAAATATTTTCAAATGCCACTATTGACCTATATCTAACTACAGAAAATTTATATTGAAAAAAGTTTTTTGTGGGCATATAAGATAAGATAGTGAATGAAACTGAAAAGATAAAGGTGCATATAACATGAGGTGAATTTAGTTAATAATGGGGTGACTATAGAAATAATGGATTTAGTAATTTGATTTGATCATAGAAAATTAAATGGGAGTAATAATGAATATTTGTGAAATGAAAATAGTCTCATATTCATGGTGAACCATTAGGCTTAAAGATTGGATTGAACATGTAGCTAGTCCAACCAGACACTAGGGAATTAAGGGCATGTTTGGTTTGCATCTCTAAAAATTGTATTCGAAAATTGTTTTTGAGAAGATTTTTATAAAAATGTATTTTAATTTTTTTGAGATGAAGAACTTGTTTAGTTAGATGATTTCAAAAACAGTTCCACAAAATAAAAAACAATAAAATCTGTTTGGATTGATGGTTTCATATAAAAATATTTTAACATATTAAACTTGTTAAAATACAAAAAAAAAGAAAGAAAGAACGAAAATTCTAGCCAGATTTGTTGCCGGAGCTTCGCCAGAGTAATCCAAGTAACATAAATCAAATTAGCCCCTTAAAGACCCAGGAGCAAAACTTTAATAAATCTCAAACTTTCGGTCCCTCATCTCTCTCGGTCAGTCTCTTTATCTCTGTTCAATCCCTCAACATCTATATATAATATATATCTGTGTGTGTGTATATATATATTATTTAGATGGACAATTTCATAAAAAAATTTCAATAAATCAAACTTTAAAATTAATCAAACAGTTCAATGGTCTTCATAAAAAATAAAATAAATATAAAAAAATAGATCAATGGCCTTCATCTGAAATAAAACCAAACAGATTCAATAGAAAATATATACAAAACACCAATAATTTTTTTCAAAAAAAAATAAAATTAACTCAATCAGCCCCTTGAATCAGATCTAAATGAGTCGTTCAAAGGGAAGGTTTTTATCGTCAATCAAAGTCGGTTGTTTTCGCTAATTGAATCAGATCAAATCAGGTCTAAAGCCCTTTGAACTAGATTAGATCTGAACCAAAAAATAGATCAAATCGAAAAAAATCAGATCTGAAGATTAGTTGATCTTGCTGATTGAAGACTGGTTGATCTCACTGATTGAACTAGATCTGAAGCCCCTGTGTATGTGTGTGTGTTCATTCTGTAGAAGAGCGAAGGTCACAGAGACAAAGAATGTCATGGAGAGAGAAAGGCAAAAAAGGAAAAAATCTTTTATTGTAGTTCATGTTTTGCTTCTAAGGAGGTTCGAATAGGAAACCTCATTAATGAGTATTTTGTTTCACGTGTTTTCCATTTTCCCATCTTTTGTCTCCAAAAAACTCCAAAACAAGCCCAACTTGTTTTGTAAAATTGCATCTCATTTCCCACTTTTTTTTTGAAAATTTGGAGAATGAAAATTCTAACCAAACAAGTTTTGCCTTATTTTTAGTGTTTTGGGAACAAAATACAGTTTTTAAAACACTATCCAAACAGACCCTAATTATCCAAATGTGATAAATTTAAAACTTATTTTACAGGAATATGACAATTTGAAATTAATGTATCAAATTATGATATTTTTTAATAGCGTGTTTATCAAAGATTTTGTTAATAAAAACATGTTTCTAAAGTACACCTTTTATGGAAACTAGTAAGGTACAACGTGTGTTTTTTTTGAGATACAACGATAAAAATTTATTACTGGGGAATGTCAGAAAAAAGGCGAGGCATAACAAAATCGGGTGTCTACTCCAACCATACAATGCTACTATTTAATGGTATAACAGAACGAGCTAACTCATGAGGATCAAAATGAGTATTTTGTTTCCCGTGTAAGATGGCTTCGAGAGGATCAAAATCTCCATCACCACTCCTAATAAATTGCATAACGCTTGTAGAATCCCCTTCCAGTATGACTTCTACTAAGTCTTGTTGCCTTGCGAATTGGATCACAATTTTTGCAGCAATAGTTTCTGTTTTACGAATATCACAACTCATAACTAACCTATTAGACAAGGCCCTTGCAAAATAATCTCGGTCATCTCTTATAACAACCCCCACACATAAGACATATTGCTCTGTGAAGACAGTAGCATCGAAATTAACTTTGAAGGTACTTGCCCTTGGGGGACACCAGCCATCGTTGAGATTTTGCATAGGATTAATAATAGCTTGATTTGTTGCCTCCCTATACTGCTTGTAATAAACAACAACCTTTCTTTGCACATCAATAGGGGCTTGGACCAGATTTTCAAATATTCATATATTCCTATTTCTCCACACAAACCAACACTGAATAAGGAACAAAGGAAATTCATCAGATGTAAGGCCCTGATGGACATCACACGCATTCACTGCCTAGGATCAGAAGCCATAATCTGGATTGTTGCCTTTAAAGAGCTGATACTCCACATTGCTTTGGCCCAATAACAGTCTCTTATGCAGTGTACCAACGACTCCCCAACTTCTTGACACACTCCACAATTCCCATCCATAGTGACACTCCTTCTCCAAAGATTATTCCCTGTTGGTAGTGCGTTGGAACAGACCCGCGAGGCAAAGATCTTAATTTTATTTGAAATTTTTTTATTCCAAATAAAATTACAATTAAGGTGTCCAGCACTAGAAGAGGGAGATGAGTTTCTTGGGCCTGCTTGCAACAGCTTTTGGTCCATGATGATGTGATATGCACTATGTACTGAGAACCTCCCATTTGAATTATAATGCAAAATCAGTCTATCCTGCATTGAATTTCTAGTTTTTGGTTCATAATGATGTGTATGAGGGTCTATGCCCAATCTCTGCCTCCATGAAATAAGTCGAAGGGAAATACCTAGCCTTAAGCACTTGATGAATAAGAGAGTTAACCTCTATATTTATACTCTATGCCTGTTTCTCAAGCATCGCCAAATTGAAAGTCTTCAAATCTCTGAAACCCATTCCACCCCTCTCTTTCCTTGTACACATCCTTCTCCAACTAACCCTGTAACTCTTCAAAATTCACATTTGACGGCATTACTATCTCAAACCATTCACATCATGAAAGCAACTAATAAAATCCATAAATAAATAAAATTTCATTCATCATCTATAATATCTACGACATCATCCAAAAGAATATGTCAAACCATGACCATTACATCAAAAAGAATATGCCCAAACTATAGCAATTTCACCCAAAAGAATAAGTCAAACTGTTATCTCGCAACGGAATAAGGAAAATATGAACATGAACATCATTTCAAAATAAATCTCCTAATCCAGAACATAAAAAGAACGATTCTAAACATCCCCTTCCAGATTCACATGTCCATCAACTTGAGCTTCCCAAATCACCTGCTCGTCAACTTGGGGCTCTTCCTCTAAACCGAAATCGAAAAATAAGTATTGTTTGGAAGAGGTGAGTACTAAGCTCTGTAGGAAAATCCTCCCAAATTTGGACAAGGTTTTGAAAATATATAAAACAAGTCGGTCTCATTTCACAAATATCATATATAACTTTTGAGAGAAAATAGTGACAGTTTATTCAATCTCAAGTTTTAGCAATATCAATAAATTAAATAAAGAAATAAAATCGATTCTCAACAATAAGTCATTTCCAACCATAAACCATCTCCAACAAGTTCAAATAATAACCCACAATTTGTACCATTACCCACGATGTATATAAAGCCACAACTTATATCATTCACAACATGATGTATATATGTATAACTTGTATCTTAGGTATGATGTATGACATCGCATGAATAAACACATCGAGAACATCCTGGCTCACACACACACACTCAATTCTTGTAAGGATATCCAATATTTAGGAAATGCGTATACCAACGCATTGGCAGGGACGATCCGACCCAGGAGTAGCATACTAACACTTAGCCTCGATAACATATGAGCAAATAGTGATTTGGTCCTCGCAAGACACCAATCTCACTACGAGTGGTAGAGAACCTTCAAACCCACATGGAGTAAGAAACGCATCTACACCACTCTACGATACCTGGTCAACGGTCACCCATGGTCATCCAAACATCCACAAGAGATACAATACAACTCAATTCCTCGAATCACAAGCAAAATCCAAAAAATTCCAAATTTCACATGTATGATTCCAAAAGAACAATTTGAACAAATAATCAAGAGATCATCAATAATACCATTTTATTGTTCAATACCAACCAATAGAGTTTTGAAATTCATAACAAATGAATATTGAGAGGAAAATCCATTTTTCTTGAAAACTAGGGTTTTCAAAATAAACATAAAAGATTTCATAGCTATTCACCCATAGCTTCCATCAAAACATGGTAATCATTGCGAGAGTATCAAGAAATAATGATTTTATAACATATATGTAGAATTGAGAGTAAAAATATACATATATATATATATATATATGTCCTAGTCTCAATAGACAAGAGTGTAAGGAAACCCCTACCTTTCTTCTTCCTTGGTGTTGTGTGAAGAACTTGAAACTTTGATTTTTTTCAACTTGAATCAACTCTTAATCTCTTGTTTTTCTTCTCATTTCTTCCTCTCTAAGCCTCTCTAGGGTTAAAAATGTTGAAATGGGGCTAAAGA